GTGAGTGCAATCCGGAACAAATAAGGTAATTTTTTCATCTTCGAAAAAGTAGGGGCCAATTTCACGGACATAGAGGTTCTGTCGCTCTCGACTCACATGGAAGCCATCAATAATACTTGATTCTCTTGCATTATTCTGTTAGTTAATTATCGATATTTACAGTGAAGCAAGAATGATGGAAATAAGAAATTGAAATATTTACGCCAGAAACAACCAACCCGAACGCATAAGGGCATTTCGTTATTTATAATAATAGTGGTAAATGAAAATGGAACATTTGAGATTTGGTTTGGATTTTAGGGATGATTCGAATTCACTGAGAAATATTAACATTGTTACGTAATTTTATTCCGATTTTTTACTCCCATTGGTAGAAAGTTATGTATAGAGAAGTAGACGTATAGTGGAGCGCGGTTATATCAGTAAATTGTCGAGTAAGTTTTTGGATGCTCTAGGTTATCTAACAATTCAGAAATGAACATTTATAGTGATCGCCCAATCGGAAATTATAGATTCGGTGTTGGCTTTTTCTACGGAAAATTAATTCTTCGAATCGAATTACATCGAGAGGATGCAGCCAATTGGCGAGGAAGAAACAAGAATGAACAAAATCGATACAATCGAAGCCGATAAAATTGAATGTAATTTTAATATTTTTTTCCCCCTTTTGAGTCAATTAAATAGCGTACTGGTTATTAGTAACTTCGAAGGGGCGTTTTATTTACAGAAATTATTAAATCAACCACTCATGGACAATGATGTCAAGTTTAGGTAAATTCTCCTTTAATATATGCTTCTGGCACAACTTTAAAATACATGCCCAATATGACCGCGAATATATATATAGGTATGTACTGGAATATATGTTTACATATATATCAGCGACCCAGCAGGCATATTGCATTTCAAAGTTCGATCTTCAGGATCAACATACCGTGCAGTCACAGAGTTTTATCATGACAAAAAAATGTCCTCTTTTTTGCTCTCTTCGAGCCGATCGTCTCAATTTTTTTATATCTTCATAAGCGCTAAGTACTAGCTCGAAACGTGTATAGATGTATTTCTCCTAGCATTGAAAAGCGTTTTTATATCTTCATGAGCGCTAAGTATTAGCTCGAAACGTGCATAGATGTATTTCTCCCAGGATTGAAAAGCGTATATCCGTATACATATATGTATATAAATATACATATAGAACATCGCAGGATTTGCTGGGCTTAAATATGTGCATGCATAAACGCACTCGGAACGCTTCGAAGGGAAATTCTCGTGGTACTGAGAGTGCAGAGGAGATTCGAATACGTTTTAACACGTCGGCCTTCGTAAATGTCTGTTTCCGAAGTTTCGCTCCGTTTTCTCGACAAGTCGACGTGTCTTTCTGCCAAGTCGAGATTCCCTGATAAACTTCGAGTCTGAAATGTTGCCTCGTGGTTGAATTAAAATCCCAACTCGTGATTTATTAGCTTAAGGTGATATGAAAGTGTGATACGTACATACCAAAAAGTCAAAATATTTATAAAACATTTCTCCAAACTGGGTGCACCAAATTATCTAATACTTTAACACCTGATTATGGAGGCTCTAAGGAATAACGCGTTGTTCGTGAAATTTCTTTTTTGGACAAAAAAATGTTGTACTTATCTCGGAGAAGAATCAAAGAAAGACATTTTTTTTGCGAAAATGAAATTTCACGAGGAGGGCGTTCTTCCTTAGAGCCTACTTAATTACGTGTCGAAGTATCTGATAACTTGGTGCGCTCAGTTTGGAGAAAAGTTTTATAAATATTTTCCCTTTTCGGTATGTACTTGTCGCACTTTCATATCACCTTAATACAGATGAAACATCAAACATCGCAGCGCACTGTTTCAGATAAAATATCAGATAAAAGGACTTGTTTTTACCGACGAGGAAGTTCCTCGGCGCTCCTTACATCGTCTTAAATAAGGCGATACGAGGGGTGCAATAAAAAGTGCATAAAACGTTAACGTCTCCAGGCGGGAAGAATTCGTAGGCGTGTCAGAGCCGGGCAGTTGAAGAAATTTTCGGTGAAAGTCCGTGACGATAAAAACTTTCGGGAGAAATTGCCGAGGTCCGGCATCGCGACGCTCCTCGAAATTGGCCTGCGAAAATAATGCGTGTGGTGCGTGTCCGTGTGGGTTTTTTCTGCCGGCCGGTTCCCCTCTCGGTCTCGTGGGGATTTATTCCTGGCTCCTTGCAGAGAGGGAAAGTGCCGGAATGGTGTTGTACACGTAATACTCGGGATATATGCTAGTCGGACGTGAGATCGTTGGATCGTCACTTTCGATCTTCGATTTTACGAGCAAAAACTCGGCTTCTCGGTGCGGCTAATTGCGGAAATGGCGTCGGGTCGCTCTTGGCATTATTGAGTTTTCTCGTGCCCAAGTACCTGGAATGACACGAGTTCCATTTCTTCTTACAGCTTTGTTAGAAAGGGGTAATTAATCCTTCCGAGAGCGGAATTCCGAAAATTTGCAAAATTTAACTTAAATTCGGAATCTCTTCGCACCAAAAAACGGCTTTAGGGAAGAAATTGCACATGAGTTGTTTATAAATAATAGTAATATTTAAAACAGCGGCTTTTCCTGGTTTTCTTGCAATTACTGGATTTGTCTTGTATTATTCAGTTTTCTCGTGCCCGAATACCTGGAATGACACGAGTTCCATTTCTTCTTACAGCTTTGTTAGAAAGGGATAATTATTCCTTCTCAGGGCAGAACTCTTACCTTAGCCGAAAATTTGTAAAATTTGACTTAAATTGGAAATCTCTTCGCGCCAAAAAACGGCTTTAGAGAAGAAAATGCAGAGAAGTTGTTTATAAATAATAGTAATATTTAAAACAGCGGCTTTTCCTGGTTTTCTTACAATTACTGGGTTTGTCTTGTATTATTGAGTTTTTTTTGAGCGAACACGAGTTTCTGCGCTCAGTTCTTCCAGAAATTTAGATACACAAAGTAGTTGTTCCTAAAAGTTCCTAAAACGCAAAATATCAATTTTTTGTAACATCACCAAGAACTACGTGACTCATAATTTCCACAATTATCAATTTCTAATCGATAACTCTGAAAGCGCTGAGTCGTCCACTTCGATCTCGGAACTTATCGGAAATATATTCTGACCAATGAGGGATTCGATTTACAATTAAACTTTTTACCACAATTTGTTAATTTTACTCACGGATGTTGTTGGTTTCGAACAAATGACCAATTATAATTTTATTCCGGATTCCCACCTCTTTCTGGTTTATGTCGTTCATTTCCTAAAAGGCAAAATATCAATTTTTTGTAACATGAAGAACTACGTGACTCATAATTTCCACAATTACCAATTTCTAATCGATAACTCTGAAAGCGCCGAGTCGTCCATTTCGATCTCGTAACTTATCGGAAATATATTCTGACCAATGAGGGATTCGATTTACAATTAAACTTTTTATCACGATTTGTTCCGTTGCACTCGATCATACGCGATCGCAATCCCGACTGCTATTGCGGAATTTAATCAATGTATACGTAGCTACGGGTAATTGTGCATTTAACGGACACACCTAGAGGCGACTCGTTTTGCAGGTCTAATTGTTTGTCATGCGCATGGTTCCGACACTTTTGGACAGTTTCCAACCATGTCAGATTGTCGGATCACGATTGCGCGATTTCGCGACTGGAAATGGTCACGCTTAACATTACGTTTGCGGAAACATCCGGAAATCGCGAAACAACGAGCGATTTCGCGACCTCGATCGCCGTTGCATCGAATATGTGTAAAATTGCTCATTAAACAACCAGTAAATAATGGGCCTCCGAGAATATCGATAAAAATTATCGCTCCCTCCTTGGAACATTAAAAACAAATTAATACTTTTTTTTAAACATCATTTTAAGACTTAATTATATCACTGCATTTTTTATTGACCAAGTCAGGGCCGAGTAACGTTTTTTGTACTCCGTTTAAGTGAATGAAAATTGATTGGTAAATGCTGTTTTAAACGGTATTTAGAAGTCTTTAAGGATTGTTAATGCCTCGGTGTTATCAAAAGCATTCATGGTTTGAATCTGGCTTTTTTTATTTATTCTCTTTGAACGTCAGCGCGAAACTTCGTACATCTCGACATTACAACTCGAAATGTAAATATTTGAAATTGCTTTCCAATGGGTCGATCTCGAGTGAATGACTTTTGTCCCAACGTATTTTTAATTAAAATTAACGCGTAACTTCGTACATTTCGGGGTTTAAACTTCAAATGAAAATACTGAAGATCGATTTCAAATGAGTCTATCTCGTGGGTGACTTTTACTCTTACATATTGCCGATTCGAAATTTCGTACATTTTGGCGTTGTAACTTGGAAAGAACACATTAGGGATCGATCTGTTCTTCTAAATGTTACCAATAGAAAGGAAATACTTCCATCGAAATTTTTGGCGTTGTAATTTGGAACGAAAATACTAAAAAGTTGGATTTTGGTGGATCGAATGTATGTCTGTCCTTTATTTTGGCATATCTCTGTCGGAAGCAAGTACAAAATTTCAGACATTGTGACGTTATGACTTGGAATGAAAACACTCGAAATCGGTTTCAAACGAATCAATGTCATATATGGCACTTTTATTCCCACATATATACATACGTATATACCCGCGTAAAATTTCGCACACTCCGGAGTTACAACTTGGAATCAGTTTCCAAGAGACCGATTTCATACGTCGAACTTTTATTCCGCACTTTTTCCCGCCAAAAGTCAGCGCGAAATTCCATACCTCTCGACGTCGCAACTTGGAATGGGAAGACTTGAAATCAATTTCCAATGGATCAGTCCCGTACGTGGGACTTTTATTCTTACATATCTCCACGGAGAGCCAGGGCAGAACTTCGTACACGTTGGTACTGTAACTTAAAATGAAAACTTTCGGGATCGGTTTCCAATGGGTGCACCTTCTCAAAATATCCTTCTTCTCCTTCCGAGACACTCCTGGAGAAACGTCGAAAAGTTCTTCGGAAAGTCAAAAGTTCGCGATACATTTTCAGGCCGATTTAGTTGGCAACGAGTCGACGTAAATTGCAGTAACATTGCACTTCAGGGAATCCTGTTTCTAGCTTGGTACCTTCAACAAGTACGACCGAAAGTGCAACTTGCTAGAAGTTAAGAGGGAAATAATGCACGCATCATGTGTCCGCGAGTTAACGTGCACGATGCTTCTACGTAATGACATACGAGAGTACATATATCGAGGTATGTGCAGCTGCAACTCAGGCAAAGAAACTTTTCGGAGAAGTATTTCAAGACATGCTTCATGAACTTGGCCGACGGGAATTTTTTAGAAATCCACGTGGAGGCCGTAACTAACGTCTCCATAAAAGTTACAAACGAGAAAATGTGAAAAATGAGAAGACTGACAATTTGAAAAGATTTGTGAAATTTAGATTTTACAGTAATTCTATGTGAAGAGCTTCGCGAACAGTTCCTACTTTAACGTAATGTTTATTCATTAATGATATTATTCGACTGGTTTGATAAATTATGAAGATTTCATACAGGTATTGAAACATTGTTGTGCATTCAATGCGGCGAGATTTCAAATGTCTCCTGCCAAAATATTTTTGATAAATCATTCATTATCGGATACTTTTTTAAACAGTGCAACAATTGACCCAGATACCCCAATTTTGCTGGGATGAATTTCAGATTCGAGCACCGAGGTTCAATAGTTGTATTTTGTGTGAGGATTGTGGAAGATAGTTGGGCATTTAGGATTTTATGTAATGAACTATTATGCATGTCAAGGAATTATCACTACTAATGTTTGTATCTTCGATTTCGGTAAATTACATCCGGCATATAAATATTATCTTATAACTAAACTACGACACACTAAACTATTATACAAAAAGAACTAGACGAGCTCTGTTGGACATGGATTTCCCGAACGAGTAGCTCGATTATGGCAACATAGTACGATTTTAATTTATGCAAACACATACAACTTATAAGAAAAAAGTCATTTGTCTTAGAGACATTTTTCCATGATTATTCCTGTGTGTACAAAAAAGAAATAAAAAAAAAATTGAAACAATGTCTAATGTCAACGCACTTATTTATAGCGTACTTGATAACGATACTCCGAAAATTTGCGTGGGAGTTCTGCTTATGAGAATTATAGTTAAAAGACCACTTTAAATCGATGAACTTTCTCTGCTGCTGGGGCAACGGTGACAGGTCAGTTTTGTCATTTCAAGGCCCAGTGGCCTTGAAATTCACGTATGTGCTGTGCAATGCTCCTTGACCTTGTCGCTAGATGATCTCATTCCAGATTCTTTTAGCATTTCCGTTGACTTTTAACGTTTTTGATGATTGTACCGTCGAAGACCTGAACGGGAGTTCTAGTCCACGAGATCAGCATTAAAGATCCACCAATCGAAGGACCTCTTCTACCCATTAGGCAATTAATTCCTTGATCGAAAAGGATTATCCAAATTTACCACACTGACTTCTAGCGTTTTTTATGACTGTACCGCCGAAGACGTGAACGAGAGTTCTAGTCCACGAGATCAGCATTAAAGATCCACCAATCGAAGGACCTCTTCTACCCATTAGGCAATTAATTCCTTGATCGAAAAGGATTATCCAAATTTACCACACTGACTTCTAGCGTTTTTGATGATTGCACCACCGAAGACCTGAACGGGAGTTCTGGTCCACGAGATCAGCATTAAAGATCCACCAATCGAAGGACTCCCTCTGCCTATTAGGCAATGGTGATAGGTTAGTTCCATCAGCTGAAGACCCAATGGTCTCGACTTCCACTCGATTAACTTAAAGTGCTCCGTCCCTCTATCACTATACGATTCACCTCCGTATTCCTCTTGAAAATGTCCTTCACTACTTCTTGTCCGCCTCCTGTGGACAATATATCGACCTTCAGGGCTCTCAGAATATGTCCACTTGGTTTGATTCCTGTGAAACGTGGAATCCTGATGATCCCCAAATCCAGCAGAATCTGATCGATCGGTATAGATCGGGACGAAATCATGATCGAACTCTGATATCCTGGTCGATTGATCCAGGGGATGAATGTTCCCTGGGAAAGGATTATCCTGTAATATCCGCGTTTTTAAATTCTCTGGCGAGGACTTCGCTTTTCGAATCAGTTCAACGATCGTAGCCACGTCCAGGTCTGAAGCTGTTTTCAAAAATTTCGTTGGAACGAATTTCGAGTTTCCTGGGAAACTCGGCTTAGCCCCGTGATTAATTGTCGGCTCCTTTGTCGGGATCAGCGGGTACGGGAACTCGGTGCCCTTTCCAAAGGACTCGGAAAATGACGGGCTTTTCGGGAAATTAATGCCGGATTTCTCGAAAGCGGACGCCAGGACTAAATTGAAACCCAGGATTGCGCCTTCGATGCCGTCTTCCAGTCCTTCGTCGAAGTCGGTGTACTCTTGGCCGAGGACGATGTCGCCTTTGCTGGGAATCACGTGTCCAACCATCTAAAAAAGTCAATTCAATTTAGATTTAGATCCCAGGCTCATTTCTATTAATTAATAACCTCTCTAACTAGTATAAACGAAGTTTAAAGGAGGAAAGATATCCTTTTCTTGTACATCTGTTAAATTCATCTGCTTCTCCGACAATAATTAGAAAATCCTGCCAATTTATTAACCTCAAATATATATATACCATCCTTCCATAGTACACTGTCTAACTACATTTAGTTGAATGATAATTATCCCTTTTAATGGACTACATTAACCCATTTTTATCTAAAACTTTCCATCGGTGTCCATCATCATCTAATCCGTAATTATTAGACATCTGTACATTAGAGGCATGACAACCATTAATTATGAAATGTTTCGGTGCTTTCACTTTTTTATGTAAATTAATACGGTTCAAGCATTTTCACCTCCACCTTGAGACACTTTTTACCCTAGTTACGCAGAAGTGGGTACGATCGAAGTGGCGCACCGGGAAGTGTGGCATAATTAGGACGGCCTGAGCCCCCGATGAACAAACGAAATTACACCCGGGAAATTACTGTAATTAGGTAGCCTAATTACAGCGGTGATACGGCCATCTGAACCCGATGCGAGCAACCGGGAGACAGAAGTTGCGCCGGTAAGGCAGGTCCCTGCTCGCCGGTGTCTGCGCGAAATCGCGAAAAACGACCGAGACACATTGTCGCCCCTTTCACGCGTTAAACGGGAAAATTAAGGAGTCAACGTCGACCTGAAAGGGTTTACGCGACGTTGCTTGGCTTTTACTTTACCTTAGCAATTAGGAAAATTGACGTGGACGGCCATTTTAAAAGGACCCGTCGCCAAACGCTAGAACGTTGGACCGAAAGAGAAAAAGAAAAGGCCGCGACGTTAATCCGACTTTAGACTCGTTAATGTTATTTCAATATAAATATTTCACATTTGCAATTAGCAGGACGTGGTATTTCTCCTTAACGATAATTACACAAACGCGAGATTTATAGCGATTAGGTGGGAAATTCATATTTCCTGACGCAGATTTCTGTCTAGTACGAAATAGTTTGCAATGATTATTGTGTTGTAAAAATCATAACTTTTAAGGTGATAACATGTAAGTATGGATGAATTAATATTTATCAAACTGCAGAGTCGTTCCTTATACACGATGCAGAGAAAAATGTTTTCCAGGTGTTTAGACAATTATTGCCAAATCACATCGATCCAAACTGATAATAAATTCTGTCAAATGTAATGTTAAATATTAATATGCATGTAATGTATTGGATTTCATTTTTTATCGATAGTTTTGTTGCAATAGATTCTCTGATTTTGTATTTTATGCATACCTTCGTTCCAATTGTTTAGTTTAATACGACAAATTGAAACCTAAAGGTTACTCTCCATTTAAAAGCGTTTGGGCCATTCCCGACTGTCCGTTTACGGACTAATTGCGGTAATTGACATGATTCGGCCCATGACATCATATGACCAAAATTAACCCAGAATTAGGAAGGGACATGCGAGTGTACAGCGACATGCGCTGACGCGTCATTGTCGAACAAATGGACCCGAGAAAATAGATGCCTTCGCTCGTGTCGCGGTTAATTGACTCGAATGTTAATTGACGGATGGACTGGTACTTCATTTACGTACCTACGCGTATACGGTGACAATTCCACGTGGCAAAAAGAAAACAGAGTCAAACCCAAACGAAAATCTACATCTCAAATTGAATCCCCTGCGTGATTACGTTGGCTCGAATTATAATGAAATTAATTTAGAAAATGGGCCGCACTTTACTGGTGACATCGCGTGTAAATTAAATGATATACCAGGTTTGTACGTGAAATTCAAAACAAGTCGTGTCTGGAATATATTACCTAATATGCCGTGTAATTGCTAATTGGACAGCCGTCATGTTACATGTCACGTATTGAGTAGGTAGATTAATTCTATAAATTTTCAGTCTCTCGTCAGGTATTAACTCCACAACCATAGGATATTATTTCAAGCAATAGAAAAAGCAATTTCAAAAATTCTTTCTGATATCTTATATAGTAATGGGTCTTTAATCCTGTCAGTATCAGTATCTTCAATCTTGAGGATTATTAATATCACGATCAACGTCATGAAAATATCATTTCTCCGTTTTGTAGGTGAAAATGTTTAATGTCATGTCAACAGCTTTGTCGAATTGATCGATGTTAAAACGAATGAAATTGGTATGAGTTTCACACATACGAAACGTAAGTACTTAACGTAAAGGGGCCAAGATGACATGTCTTGTAAAGTAATCCAACTAATTTGGTATATTGTCAGGTGTAACGCGCTAGCGAGAAAGTAAATGACTCTCTCGTAAAATAAAACTGCAATGACCGTGTCATGCCTCTTACGTATTAATCGCAGGATCAGCGGAAACGCATGCGTCAATGTTAATGTACAGACTGTATACACATACTGGTACCCATTGACAATTACTCGCAAACCCCCGTCCCGAAATTACGGAAGCGTTTAGCACCTTTCCTGCAACTACCTTTGTTCCGATCTCGGTCGTTAACATTAATTTAACAAATTAACACCTATAATGCACTACCGCATAATACTATATCCTTACGAAGGAATCGTGTACGTTTTTAAATTATCACTTTCCGCGGAAAGAGGCGAATTTAAAATTGCCCGCGTTCCAGTTTCCGCATCCGTATAACAGAAACAATGAAATAGTCCATTTTTCTTCAATTGTCAGGTTGTTTAGCGCAAAGATATGATGTACCATCGTGAATTGCCGAATTACGTTTCCTTATGGAAGGAACGATCGGAATTTCTGCCGAGATATGAAATTTAAGTAATAGGTCGGCGTTTTCTTTCCGTTGTCTCCAAAATTGTCCTAATTTACCAAAGACATTGTTAAAACAAAACCTATTAAACACAGCATAAATTTTGGAAATCAGAATTTCTACTCAGTGGTATAGAAATAATTTACGCGACCTTTCTCCAGCATGTATTCAAAAAACATGTTCAATGTTGACATAACCAAAATGGCCCTCTTTTCTGTCGTCGAATATTTAGTTCGTTTTTATTTTATTTTATTTTTTTTTTAATACCAAATACTCAAGAAGATAATATATTATATCGTTGAATTAATTCTGTTACACTTATATGAGTTACTTTAAGAAAAATAAGATGCATTGCAGATCTTAATGGTGACCATATTGTAACTTAATTTTGTTGTTTAATGAAAAATGTTTTTATGAAGTTATCTCATTTATGTCTAAAAGATTGATTTAACTTAATATAATCGTCGTAAATATGTTTGCAGTAGCATAATTAAGTCTTTATTCGTAAGGAGATGTTTTCTGGAAAATCGCGAACCAATATGGCGTCGTGGTCACTCTTATGCTTCGCGTGAATGTATATACTCGCTTTGTCGCGTGTTTAGAAATGCAAGTGAACCCGGAAATAACCTGTCGGTGTCGATTCTATCATTCATACAGCTGACCAGCGAGAAAGCGAACAGGATCTGATCGTAAATCTAACCTTTTCCGAGTAACCTTCGGCCACAAGATGGCCATCGATCCAGACTCCATATCGGCCATAGGAATTGTCCCAGCTCTGGCACACGTGATACCAAATATGCTCCTTAAGAAATACTGGATGTGAGAAAATCTCAACATTGTCGATCTCGAGATTAACATCGGTGCCGTCCGGGGATATCCAGGACCTAACCAAACGGTCCTTTTCGTTCTCTGCAAATTTAAATAAAAAAACAAATGAATAAGTGGAAGTGTCTTTCTCATTTTTCTTCCGCACTTTTCCAACCGACGGAACTTTCCCTGCGGTGAAACTCATCGCAGAATGCAAAGAGTGTAAATAAAAGTGACGATTGCACGGATAATATGTAGCAAGTGGTAACGTCAATAACCGGATATTTGATTTAGAAATTTCAGGACATTTTCCATAACGGATTAGTGAAGGAGTGAATTCGAATATTTCTTAGAGGAAGCGATTTTCCACCTTGGTAGGTGTTTTTAGTTTTGTTTACTTGTGCTTCTTTTTTTTTTTTTGTTGTCCTTTAAACGTGCGCGCGGTAGTTAGCATAAACTCCATTGCGCAAGTGTTTAACAAGTAGGAACGTTTTCCATTCTCTTCAAAACGTCCCTTCAGTTTTAACCATAAAAAACGAGATTTTTCTAAACCCGAGTTAGGATATATGAAAATGTCCGGTATGTACATCAATTTATTAAATAACAATGTTATATAGCAATACCTTGTACGGAAATATTTAGAGTGACCTTCCGAAGTACTCAATTTATTTTGGGTATTTTTTACTGTTCTATCTCATAATTATTAATATCGTTATTAATTTAGCACACGAAGCTTCTAGCACTTGAAGCATTTGACAGAAGGAATTTTGTTTCTCTCTGTGAATTTAATAAATGTCACGATTCCATTTTTGATACCCAATTAGAAGTCAGCATCGACTTGATAATATAGATAATATAGATAATAATGAATTTCCATACAATTACCCTTAGGACTTGTAATACTCTCAGACAGGTATAATAATTTTTCCGAGATAAGATAATTAAAACTGAACTGGAATACTTACTAGAATAGGAGAAAATCGGATGAGAATACGTGAAATTCGTCGACTTGATCCAAAGACAGAAAGTGAATTCCTTGATCTCCGGAACTGGCAAATCCCACCTCAGGAACTAGAATGAATAAAAAAAGAAACAAGGCATGCACGATAAGACGATAACTTTTCCCCCACCTATTAAATATAAAAACAAAATGAAACACGTCATCTTACTTGAATATATCCTCGTTGGGTCAAAATCGCCTTGTGGAGAGGCGTGGTTCTCTTTTTCCCGATTTTCGGAGCTTCTTCGATTTCGGAAAATCGTTGATCACCGTGCGAGGCATTGCCAACTGTTGCGATGATCAGCATAACAACCAGAATCCCAATTATTGAGTTCTTGCTTCTTAATGTAGCCCCTTTTTTAATTTCCATATTTACTTCCGTAGCAGCGAGGTAGGTATTCATTTATTAAATGATATATGTAGTATCGGCGAGGTGTTTCTTATATATTTTTTTGTTTTCTTTAATGTCGGTCAGGGATTATTGTTTGACAATTAACTGGAGGCTGTTGGTGACACCTTTGCTGGGTGTCCGAAACTGGACTTTCGTGGAAGGAGTTGGCTTTGCGACTGGCAAGGTTTACGTGCCGTTCGGTGATTGCCGATTTCTCAATGGCCTTTGAACAGGGATCGGCACAATTTGCATACGACCACGATTACGTCTTGCGATTGCAGTAAAATTCCATGGACCAACGAAATTGGGAATCAATGACAATCGATTTGCCCTCTTCAATTACCACCGCACGCAGGATAATAAAGTTTACATTCGCGAAAATCCAATCGATCTGAATGATTTAACCGGCTTCTGCGAATCTCTCCACTTTTTCGAGGTAAAAAGTTGAGATAAAAATTTGTTATTTGTTTGCCACCCTTTAAGAGGAAGAACGTGAATTCAATAAATAGCAGTGGGGCGTTACTAGCAATCTCAAAGTTTTAATGTCGTTCCTCTTAAACTGAACTTTCTTCACGTTTATGCTCTTTCAAGAACGCGTGAAAACTTGCCGTATGAATATTTAATAACTATTGTTTGCCACTGTATGTACAAGAGAAATCAGTAATCAATGTAAACCTGGATATTCTTGAGGTACTTATATGACCATATTGTACATCAGTAATACCGGTATTGACAACAAATTAGCATAAAACCACTGGTTACCTTAGTAAAACATTTACCTATGCATAATCTCTGCGTACAACACGTACATAAATCATGTCTCAACTACCATATGCATTATAGTCGCTTTTACCGCATCAAATTATTAATCACCACGTTCAATGACATCTCATAGTTCTTTTTCTCTTCTCAAAATGATCTATAAATAAATTTTGTAATTTCTTTGTTCGAAAGGTTTTAATTTTCCCCACTCTCGGGGGAACTTTTTTCGCCTTGCCTGTTTTCTTTTTCTTTTTGAGTTTAAATTGAATCAACCCTTTCGTATTATTCTTTAATAAATATTGAACAAGAACTTTGTACGCAAATACGAATTGTGTATCATTCGATAGATTATTTAAAAGACCACTTTACGAGCAATCTTGACATTCGGGTTTCCTTCTTAAGGCCTTGAGAGGAGTCCTTCACCGAGTGCAGGTCTTGACACCGAGGATAGATATTCAGGATCTCGAGGACCTTTTAGATGATCTCAGTGCTTGACCTCCTTTTAGATCGGAATCCCCGGTGCATTTATATTATGTCATCGACCACGACAACTTGTCACTGACCTCTCCAACAGTTCCTCTCGTAAACTCCTCACGTGCTGATCCATTGAAGATCTCGCGTGAATGATCGATCGGGAAAAGTCATTGATCATTGACCTTTATATCCGCTGTAACGCTGAAAAATATTTCTCGTTACTCTTTTTCACAGAATTTCCAAATGGAGAACGTAATTGCATTTTAATATCGAACTAGTTTCAACATCGTAGGGTTTCGTTAAATTTCATTTACAGTAAAATATCAAAATATTTCAACTATTTCCTTTTCGTCTAGCTGGAACATTTTATTGTTCGTAGAAATTAAACAAAAAAAATCAGGAGTGTTAAGTTCAGGTCCCGAGTTTTACATTTATTTATTTATACAGTATAATGTTGTACAGTAATTGACTTCTAAAATAATTCAGCGTCGGTTTACAGTGCTACAATTTATATTATTTGCAATAGATTATATTGTAAAACTGTGACGTTTATTATTATACACTAGTTTAGTTAGTATTAACACGATTATTGTTGCTTACGGAGATGTTGGTGCAAAACTCCGGTTTTGAGACCTTTAGTAATTAATAATTGTACTTCTTGTAATGTGCGGTTATGTCCCCCGGACTAATTGAAAGCAAAAAATCAGCACTTTATTTCGACAAATGTAGGACAAAGCTATTTCAAATAAGTCGTAAAATTTTCTTAGAGGTTATGACTGGAAGTGAATTCGTTTAAAGCCAGACACTTTCTGTAACATAATGGTTTGGAGCGATTGTTGTAAAGATTCTTATTTAGATTCACTTTCGACAAAGCGTTATGCAATATTTCTGAAATTTTCCCTATTCTCCATAATGACCAGAGAATCCATGAATCTGAAATAGGGGATATCATCTTTCTGCAATCACCCCTTTCTCCATAGATCCGCAATTGATCCATCATCGATCCCAGGCGATTCTAAATGGCCGTAGATCACGGTTTAATCAAAAATTGAGAAATTACTCTCCCGGGCACAATTCCTCAGTTTAATAATGCTGCGATAAACGAGAATAACTCTTTGAGGATCAAATTTGTCGCAACAGAGACATTCAGGTTTGGCAACAATATTTCTTCACAATTTGGTACCGGTTTTTAATCAACTTTTAATAACAATTAAAATACAAAGATGATGAAAAGGGCGGTTACATCATAGTACTTAAAAAATTGATTACACGTATATGGCAAAATCCCAGCGTATTTCGTGACAAGAATCGTGACTCATAAACCATTTCTGTAAACTACTTTTGAAAGCGAAACCTTGGTGAACATAATGACTGTTCGATAGATTTGTCAAGGTCGCACTAACAAATTGTGTAATTACGAAACGAATTCTATTTTGATTTCATAGTTAGATATTGTCATCGACGTCGTTGACGTAAATGGAATCCACTCTGGATTTAACAGGGCTTCGAAAAAGTTCTTGATTGTCATAAATGATTATCATTTCCAAATAATGAAAACGAATAGTGGCAAGAATTTATACACAGTTTAAAAATGACATTAATAATTTATTAACTTTCTCTCCCCCTTTATTTTCTGCCGCTTACTTCACTGGCATAATATTAAACGGGATATTAAACGTTTCCCTTTAAATTAGGAGATTAAATGCAGATAGTTGGTGTTAACAATTTAAGGCGAATTGGAGCGCAATTGAAAACACAATGGCAGGATAAATTTCACGGTTCTCGTATTAACGGTTTATAATTTTTTTACGTCCTACTTCGCTTTAATAATCCTCAATGGGGCCTGTAACACCTAAGATGGTTTCTCCGCTGTAAAAAAGGCAACCCGACCTTGTTCCCGATTTTTTTTTCTTCGACTTTGTCCCGCAGTCACCGTGTTACAGTAACCTTTCTCCTTTCGTTTCATTCCTTGCCGCAAAAAAGGCACTCGTTTACCCGGAGTTACAATCAGTTACTTAGAAAATAATAGACCGCGAGTCCCTAGACTCGTGAAGGCGCGATTTCGCGAGGCTCCGTTTTTTTGCCGAATAAATTGCACCCTGCTAACTATTGACACTGACATTACGGCTATTTTGGGCAATTGACGGTGAAAAAAAATCCAGAAACCGGAATTGCCTGAAATTCCAAAATAATTGAACCGCTCGGCTCACTTTAGTGTTTTAAACCACGGACCCGAGGCCGATCGTTTACATGCTCTCGCACGGAACTTAGAAATTTTCTGCTTTTATGTTTTCACCATAAATGAACATTATTCGTAGGTATTCCTGACTTTGACGGAAATTGTCTGACTTATTTTCAAGACAGATAAGTATATATTATAAAGTCTAATTACTTATTCATGCGGTTAAGAAATCCTTCTGGACATCGTTCTGGAGACTCTCGTAAATTCGGCTGTAAATAAAAAAAATACTTTGATACGTACGTTATAATTATTTTCATGCATTCTTTACTCTCGTAAGAGTACTTGATGTTTCAATTAGTGTTGTCCAATAGAAACATTCTCGTATCACTTAGTAAATCTTTTAGCACAATCAGCGATCCTGCTTTTAAGGTGAAGTGAAACACGTCGAGGAACTTGATCGACGTCGATAAAGAAGATTTTTCTAAATACCTACGTTGCCGATGTTCCTTTTTAAATTGACAGCTGTGTCGAATTATATTGGGCATTGTACCAAATGGCACACTCCACCTGTCGTTTTCGTACAATAATTATAAAGAAATCGAAGTAAAACTCCAGAAATCCTCTGGATTCATGGTTTATGGGGCCCTAATTGACTGCAGAGGGACCCCCTGCGCCATCTGTGTTTTCCAGGTCAATTAAATTTTCACTCCGAGACCTCGTATTACCATCGTTTTGGCATAGAAGCGCATACGACACTTTTTCTGCCTTTATCCCGTTGAAATGCGAGTTTATCGATTACCAGAGTGTTCTAAATTGTCGTAAAATTGTCCTGACCCTTTCGTTTCTCATATCAGAGCCTTCAATAATTGTATATTGATCGAAATATAAGAGCTTGACGCCATTTTGGTTCTGGTCTGGGTTAAGTTAAACATTTTTTCCAAACATCCAAATTTGGAATGTGTCAGGACAATTCTTAGATGATCAGGAGTGACGCATCAAAGTTTCGGATAATTTGGTCCAATACCCCTAAAAAAAAGTGTCGTATTCGAATCGACTGATTTGAGGGGGGTTTCACTTCACCTTAACACGTACCGTTTACGTGAAGTACAAGCTCTCAGATTATTTATCGTGACTTCTTTTCCTGCTTTTATTTCCTCCGCGTTTCATATCCTGTGGACTTCTCTTCACGGCCTACATAGCACATATGCGCTGATGCTCTTATATCAGTAATATTAGATATTAAATTGATTGATGCTCCGATATCGGCGTAGAAAGAGAAACATTCTCTCAAGTGAAATACCCTATTTACGCGTTACTTTGTTAAAAACGGGTAAAGTTCCATACTATAAAACGAATTCCCATGACATTCCGGCGTAAATACCAATTTTATTTCCGTTTCAACTTTGTTAGAGTTCAGCTTTATTAGAATTAATTACAACCTCAACCATATCGATGATTGTCCACGGTATTTCATTAATTCTACTTGTTTTTTTAACTACAACGATCCTGTTTTTTTTTTAACACAAACCGTATGTGTACATTGACATGTTTTTTTGTGTGTACAACATGTGTACAACAACATGTTTTTTTTATACCCTTTAATCACTCCACGTGTAATTAATTCTCATTGTTTGGAATTCTTTTCATGGCCTACATAACCTGAGTGCACTGATGCCCAAAAATGGGTAACGCGTAAAAGGAGAAAAATTCTTTCAAGTGAAATTTATACACATTTCTTTTCCTTTCGGGGGCAGGTGAAATTATTTATCGGACCACATTTTTTACGAGTGTTAAAGTGCTCGATATTTAAATGAGTATCGCATAAAAGAGGATATCCTCCGACATGTAGAACGTCTATTTTTACTATTTTTTCTTTTTCGTTACCCACGGTGATTAGCAACGTCAACTGCTTTGGCTATCAGCCACGCGGATCCTGTTTTTTAATACGAACGGTTTACATAAACGTTTTTTTAGTACTCTTATTTATTTCACGTCCAATTAATTTACATTGGATGGAGTTCACGGTCTACATAACGTGTGTACACTCATGCTTTAAGATCAGTAACGTGTAGAAAGAGGAAAGCTTTCTCAAGTGAAATGCCCTATATGCATCATTTTTACTTTTGCAGGCAGGTGAAATTGTTTATCGGTTTTATGGAAGCGTTTAATCCCAGAGATAAATGTCTCGGCTCGAGAGAATGCGAAATTTATTTTTCTATAAATCTTCTAAGAGCAACTCGACGTATAACGTCTTTGAACGCGGATTATAGTGCAGAGTATAGTGGTTTTCCCCGTATAAATAATGACTGAAAATCTGATATGTTGTATGAAAATGCTAACGCAATTACGCCAGTCGTAAACCGATGCTCGGTGAAAGTGCACGCCTTTATTGTTACTGCATACTGTTCTGAGAAATCGATTGTACCGACAATGACTACTTTTCCATTCATTTCTCATCATAAACAATTGAAAGGGTCTCACATTTTATTTTTTTTTTACTTTAATTTATGTATATCTGTTCATTTTTCAACGGGAAATACTTCTACATTCATTTGTAAACAAATTGGTAGATGTCGCAATTTTTTAGTTTGAATTGGTTTACATGAAATCGGGATAAATAGCAATATGATTTTTTTACCATTATGAAAATGTTATATCACTTGATGTCTGTTTAAATATATCGTTACACACATTTGCAATTGAAATCTGGTCTTCTATGTTGCGATTGCGGTAATGACGTTTGCGGTCGCTGGTAATCATAGCCGTATTTCTGTTTTGACAGAATAATGAGAGAGGTATTCATTACGCTTTAAAATATTTAATTAGAGGCGCAATGTCGCGTTCTGCTTTAAATGGGACGAATGTTGAAATTTACCAGTTGCGCTGTTATGATAAATCTGAATTGTGGTGTACTCCATGAATATACATTTGGTCCTTTTAATTAACTTTTGATTCATCGGCTCTCGCCGTGACAATTTTCTCAAATCAGATTCAGCTACTTTTCGGATTGCGGAAAATTTACATATTTCCTCCATTATTAAATTACCCAAATTTAAGCATTTTTACGCGATAGTTACAAAACAATGAGCAGCATAAAACCGGCTAATTTAACCGTAGCAGCGAACCTCTCAATAATAATATGCTAAATGATCGTTCTACATCCCAGATTCGAATCATTTTTCACCGAAATTAATAACCTTAACATCGTTTATCTTTCACCTTGATGAGATGCTATTAAACAATACTTATCTTGTAAATATACAAAATAATGGCACTAATCATACTAAAGTAATGAATTTGAATTATTCGTAATGAGGGCATCAATCTCTCTGACATATTCTTAGTCATACATCAAAGAAATGAATTATTATCCCTTGGCATACTTCACATGACTGCAAAATACTCCAAGTTATACAGCAACTACACTTTATTTTTATTTTAAAAACCCTTCATAAACAAACAGGTACGTCATATATTAATGTGTCTCAAAATTAACAGTAGAGGGTATGGGTGAAAATGAAATAAGGAATATTTACCAGTTACACGTACTATAATAATCAACTTGGACTCTGATGTGTCGAGTAAACACACGCGAGAAATTTTTCAAGCTTAATTAGCATCGCCAAATTAAAACGGGCTCTCACTTCCTTATACTGTCGATGTAGTAACACTGTTTTGATCGGTAAAGAAGTTTCCGCGAGAGTCGATATGCGTCTGACAGGGAATTGCTGAGAGCATGGAACCGACTAGTGTTCTCTCTTGCACCATGGTGTAGAAAAGGGTAAGCGTCACCCAGCGGTGGTGGGGCTGTCTTGAGAACCCAGAAAGTTTTCGTAACTTACTGCCATTTCTGTCAAGGTACGTAGATCTTGTCACTGCAATGCGAGTAATTGCAGATGCCGCCCGGCAATTGACATCGTTTCTGATTTCGCCCCGTGGATTGTTCCACATTCCGCTAATTACGGATTTTCCATGGGAATTGCACAACGGAAATAGCCCACAATTGCACGGGTCGTAATGACGCTCCGTACATGAATTCCAAAAATAGATATAACATTTTAAACAAGGTCAACCCTATGAATAACAGAGGCATTTTATCAGTCATATTTACCGTGTTTCTATATTCAAATTTTCGAAACGGTACACCGGGAGACATCAATGCCCTCCCATCCTGCACAGGCGATGTCGTATCTACGGGGAGGCATTCATGTCTGCCATTGTACCTCTAATATTTTAAATCCGAGATCTTTCCAAGTCGAATCTCAAAAATTAAAAAAACAACAACGAATTCCGAAATTGAGCTTGAAAACATTTTCACTGCATAATTGATAAATCCAATGTCAGAAATTGCGCGGACTTTTGAGCAGAGTTTTAGATATTTGAAGTAGCACTTTTTTTTTATACACACCGTGTTGCACAAAATTACGAGGGAATATTCTATGTCAGAATGTAATTCAGCAATATTTTTATTTTTTATTTTTTTTACACGATCGGTATTATCATTTTGTTCAATATGTCTTCCTCTGATTAACGAGCTTCCGCCGATCGACATAGTCAATTGGCAAGTCGTTATGATATATTTTATGGGCTTCTGGTGTCACTTCGAAAAATTCCTGAACGCGTTTGCCAATTAATAACGTACTCTTACGTGTCGATATTTCGTTTCGACGTTACCCTCTCTACTTTCTACTCCATCTTGCTTTCCAAGTCGGGCTATAACATGGGCGTCTTCCGGTCTAACGACCAGCAATACTTTCGACCTGTTTCCACTTTCGGCTCTCGGATCTTGCAATTCAACATAAATCTCTGATCCGTCCACTCCGAACGTGTCCTCTCAGTTATGCCAAAGATATCCTGAAATTATTCCTCTTTTGTAAATTGAACATGTCAAAGATATCTGATCTGGGTAATTTAAACAAGAATTTCCGGTGAAATAAAAACTCCCACTTATATACATTCTATTCTATTTTTACGTAATTATTAGTTTCTAGTATAATACAAGTATTCAAGATGTCAAATATCCTTATTTTGTCTAATGTCTAATTAAACCTGCGGTCTAATGGCAATGCCTATATTTTATGACCTGTTCTACTTTTATCTTATTCAGTATACAAGTCGACAATCACTTCTGCGGACAAGAATTTCAAGGAAGTTTTATCAATAACTGACATTATCTCTCGCTCTTTTAAGAACGCTTTCTTCGTTATGTCGGCGGGCAAGGACTCTAAGATTAGTTGGTAATCAGTATGGAATTATTTTCTTCATGTAATCTTTTCCGCAGATGTCGAAGGTACGAGGAGTAATGAGAGCTATTTTTTGTTACAGACGGCGAAAAATTCGACGTCGGGCAGTTATTACATGGGAAGTAGTAGTACTCTTCCTCGTGGAGGACCTCTTCTAAGGGCATATAGTCCTGCGACGTCATCGGTGGTTGCAGGACCAAATGCTACCTCGAATCAACCTAAAACCTTAACTACCCCAGGTAAGACAACCTGTAATCCTACTTGCGTTTTCCTCATAGTTTCAATAAATCGCGTCAGCTGATTCGCATAATTAGAAACGTGTATTTGAAATTTACCAAAAATTTGTATCAATCCGTATAAATTCAAATCCTTTTTTTTTCCGTCGGGTTAAAAATGTTTAATAAATTGAGAAACCGCTTCGTCAGATTTTCCCTCGTTCGCTCGTAATTACAAATATATATATATGAATAGAATTAATGGCTGCAAAAAATTAGGAATAAATTCTAGAGCATTGATCATGGCTCGAACTGGACTTTCGCTAATTTTCTTATATGCTTCTCTTTTTCAAGGCGCGTAAAATTTGCATTTTATCTGTCGTGGAAAAACCTGTACTAATATAGACATTAATTGATTCAAAGCAAATCAGATTTCACATCCGTATATCCTGATCGTGCACTAATTGCATATTCAAAACTCTGTTTACAAAAAATTGTGATCGCTTTCTAGTTACAGGCCCGACCAAGTGAAATGCTCTCGAATTTCAAAATTGAATTTAGGTCGAGCGAATTTCGGGGAAAGTATTCTCGAAGTCGTTTCGGCAATACAGATCACGGATAATGAAAAGCGAATTGTTCACAAGCTTGGAAGAGGGATGTAAATTCCGTTACTATAATTTGTACTCTTTATAATCAACTTTAGATGAACTTTCAGATAAGGCGGGATATTATTTTCAACTAAGTAATTACCGTAATTAAATAATTACAGGCTCATGTATACGTGATTATCTGGGACAGCCACTTTTCTTACTCTTATCAAGATCCCTCTTCCAAGCACATCCTCCAGACAAACTGATCCGGGAGGATAATACCACTTTATTCTCAAAATTTAATATAAACATTTCATACAACATCTAATGTGCCCTAGGACATCCAGCAGTATATATTTCGTTGTTTCATAAATTCTTGCCAACAGGATATTCCCTAGTAGCACAAAATATTTGTCTTATATTTTCTATATATTTAACGAATATCGTACATTTTTGTAAATATTTACCAGACATTTGAAATTTGTAAAACGTTTACTTTAGAATATTATCTCTATAATATTTATATAATATTAGCTCCATGTGTTTTCATAATATCTTTCTACCAGATATACAAAACAGTTCGTTTCATTTTAATACAAGTATTTTTTAAATATTATCTGCCGAATACATTATAAACGTATGAAAAATATTTAAAATCGTAATCACATGTTTTGCTCCCATAATGAAATAGCGGAACGAAAATATTAGAAAAATTTCTCGTGTTTTTTGATACCAAATGAACTGTCCGTTAATAGCCGTGAAGTAAAAAATGTATTTTTATTATGTTAATAAGTTAAACAATATTTCTCTATATATTTATAAATTATTGAAACTAAATATGTCATTGAGATTTTCAAGAAATATTACAAATATCTTCGAATGAAATCTACAAGAAATCATTAAAAAATCTGTCGCTTGAGATACTTAGCAAAGATTACAAAGAAATATTTAGAAATTATTCTATGCTACTAGGGTTCTTATAAAAATGCTATCCTGACTGGGACTTTCCTTTTTGTATCTATAATCCGAGGGCATATAGAACCGTGAAATAATTTTCATATTTTCAAATTGCCACTCTTTATTACCTGTCAGATCAGTCACATTTCGTTTATACTTTACCAGCTAAATCAGCCTAGACTTCGCGATTAGTCAATCACGACCACGCTATAGTTAACCCATTGCCTCTAATTAATTCCCCGTAGCGAGATTATTAAATAATAGTGCTGGAATTTCTAGTAGCCGTGATTCAGCCGTCATTAAATGAAAAATCATTAATTGCCTGCTTGTGTCTGCTTCGTAGTTAGCTCTCCCACGCGCTTACTTCCTAATCATTTCCCTCATAATGCACGTATTGGTGTAACAGCTTCATTGCGAACCCCTCATTGCATCTCTCTATTATCTGTTTTCCTTGTACCTACTTATTCGTTCCGAAAACCGTGTCTCGCCGTTGCAACGCAACTTTCGTCCATAAAACGTACAAACGACTTCCCCGTTTTCCTTCTTTTTCCATTTTCACTATTTTTCTCATTTTTATTTTATTTTTATTTTTTTTTCATTTAACTCTGTTACACTCATAATTTGCATTCCGTTGGAGAAAGTGTTACGGTTGAAAATGTTCGGTGTTAAATTCCGTTGTGTGGACATCTGTGGGTGCCAAATTATTAACATTAATGACATCTTTTAGGGTTTAGAGAATTTCGCATTGGGGAAATTAACGCTCTTGTTGTGAATGTGTATTTTCTATTTATTTATTCAGTTAACTTGACGTGACACTTGGCCGAGAGTAATCATTTTACGAACAGCTGATATATGTTCCCTGAAAGTATCCTTAATTCCTGCTTTTGGTGTAGAACTTTCCGCTGTAAAAGTAATAAAGATCAATAAATAAAGCTTTTATTTATTACAATACACATGCCGGGGTATGGTATGTTACTTATATTCTATCGCTGATAACAGTCTAGTGAAATACGAGTATTCAACAAAGGTTGTTTACGTTGTTACGTAAGTAAAAGAATGATTATAAATTATATAAGATGAACTCTTCAAAAGGAGAAAATACGAAAGACTTAGAAATTTCGCTTATTTCAACAGTGCACACAATACAAAATGTGAAAAATATGCGTTTACTTAGAATGCTTAACACAATACATTTTCTATTTCATTAAACAATCGATCCATCACGAGTTCATTTATTTAAAAAAAGACTCGTTGTTTCAGGTACGTAGAAAGCGAAACAGATGTGTATAGCGTATAACATTTTGTTTATAGTTTCAATATGTAATTCATTCTGTAAAGACGTGAACCTTTTTTTCTTTTCTTTAGATCTTTTTTACCTTTATAAATACTGGGATTCGATACTTCAATTAATACATTTAATTGCAACATTGGAAAGCATTCATCGGGGTGAAATTCGAATCTTCTGGAGCCTTGTGATCTGTTGACCCTAGTCAGGGAAATTTCGAATAATAGTCAATCGCAATGGGGGAAGAGGTGTCTGATCAAAGAGATCAAACTGTACCGAACAATTGAGCCGATCTATCGATTTGTATTGCGACCTCTGCGTCCGGGGTTGGATGAATTGTTTGAAAAACTTTGTTATATATGCTATAAAACGCGACACAGTTTCTCCAAATCTGAATAAATCCCAACCAGAAACAAATATCGTATGATGAACAAAGTCACCATAATCGTCTTCAAAAGACAATAAACAACGATCGAAAGCATGCGAGCAGCATGAAAATGACAAAACAGGCTCCGATGGCTGAAATTTGATTTTCTCTGCAATAAATGTCCTTCAAAATGAAAACTAATGGAAATATACTTCTATGACATACGCGTATTAGAATATTGTACACAAGGAAAAATCCTGTTCATTTAAAGAAATCACTTGCGTGAATCAATAATTAGTTAATCACGCGCGGGCGTGTTTTCTTTTTGGGAATATAAATTGGGCCCAGTTTATTTGACATTTCGAAAATTGTTATCGAATAAAGGATCGATGTACTTCCACGAGGAGGATTTTTCAAGTGTGTTTGCATTTTTCATCTGGATTTCGTATATCTTAACGGCTTGGCACGATATCGAATTAACGTTCTACTGCAAATCGTTTCCTACTCCTTGCCTTTAACTGTAAACTCATTTATTAAATAACTGTGCACTAAACAATTACTTAATAAAGTCAGCAACCTGCCTCAATGTCGCATTGCAAATCACAACTGCAAGGGCTTTTTTACTTAAACGCGTTAGAGATCACTCCTTAATTACTAACAAATGCCAGGGCAATTTCTACGTATTGTTACCGAGTATACGTGTACAGTGAAAGATTCACTCTCGTTTTCTTTGTTTTTTTTAATTTTTTTTTCTATATCTTTTTTTATTAATTAAGAGCGCGAGCGAGTCTCCCATTTCGCTCCCTCGGTAGAGTCGCAATGCTTATTAGATGCCCTTAAGGGAGTTTGAAACTGACTTTCTACGAGATGACTTTTTCCCAACATTACAGTTCTCGCAATTTTCCGAGATCAGTGTCCGCAACTTTGCTTCGTGAACATCCGGACGAGAATTAACGTACTTTAACCAAGAAAAATTTGTCCCACCGAATGAAATGTTTAAACGCACGATTTTTCAAATTCCTACCTACCATCTAAGGTAAGCAAAAAGTCATTGCGACATACATTTAAGTCATCGTAAATTCATCGACCTCCATCAAAGAACCACCTTTTCAATCAGCTATTGTCAATTCACCCGATCTAGGGGAAATATTTCAAACGATTCCCTTAAAATTAATTTGGAAAATTGGCGAGGAACTGCGACGTCGGTAAATTCTCCCTGTAGAAGGCAGTCTCGAAGCCTGTTAACCTTCTCGCATGCTCGGGCGAGATTTGCGAAAGGGTTAAGGGGATGTGAAAGTGGTGATACAGAGGTCTCGGTAATGAAACTCTTCTCCGAACTGGAGGTACCGAAACGTTTCAAATTTGACATTGTGAATATGTAGGCTATAAGGAAGGTCCCGACACCCATAAAATTTCAAATTTTTTTAAATTTGTTTATAGATGTTTTCAAAATTTTGTATAAAAAATGTAATTTTATGAGTGTCGGGACCTTCCTTATAGCTTCCATGTTCGTATTGTCAAGTTTGAAACGATTCGGCACACTCAGTTTGTAAAAAAGTTTAATGAACGATTGAGCTTTCGGATGCCACTTTCATATCCCCTTAAGGAGGAGTTTACCGCGCCGGAACGTGCGACTCCGAGTTTCCGGAGGCCCGGAAGTGCGAGGGGAAGTAGTAAGGAGGCTTAAGGAAGAAGGTTGAATGCTGCTGGATGCAATGGTTTTGGATGGTTTTGGATAGGTGGAGGCGGGGTAGCGCCGGCCAAGCCGCTCCGGAGCTACCAGTGTGGTAAAAGTCCCCTAGGAAGCCTGGGGGGATCCGCACGCTTCTCTAGAGACAGCTCGGTGTCCCTCTATAGTATACCAGGTCAGTGGAATCCTTAACCTAGGTCAACGACGACAGGACCACCCGAGACCGCCGGAGAGGTTTTTTACCTAAAATAAGGAAATAAGGAAAACCTGCAACGCGCCGCACAATGTCAACCGGGGTTTTTTCACGATCAAATTATCAAATGAGCATTTTTAATAGAAAAGTTGGAAAATATTTTTCGGAGGAAATCTGCGTAGTTTGGTGGGGAAATCTGCACAGTTTGACCGGGAAAATCAACGACGTTTGACGTAGCCTTGTTTCATGAGGAATAATTTGCATTGGAATAATCTGCGCAGTTTGACGGGGAAAATCTGCGCAGTTTGACGGGGAAATCTGCGCAGTTTGGCTGGGAAAATTTGCGCAGATTGGCCGGGAAAATCAACGACGTTTGACGTAGCCTTGTTTCATGAGGAATAATTTGCATTGGAATAATCTGCGCAGTTTGACGGGGAAAATCTGCGCAGTTTGACGGGGAAATCTGCGCAGTTTGGCCGGGAAAATCAACGACGTTTGACGTAGCCTTGGCGCAGTTTGACGGGGAAATCTGCGCAGTTTGGCTGGGAAAATTTGCGCAGATTGGCCGGGAAAATCAACGACGTTTGACGTAGCCTTGTTTCATTAGGAATAATTTGCATTGGAATAACCTGCACAGTTTGACGGGGAAATTTACGCAGTTTGACCGAGAAAATCTGCGCAATTTGACTGGGAAAATCAACGAAGTTTGACGTGGCCTTGTTTCACGAGGAGTAACTTGCCTCAAAATCGGATTTTTTACTCATTTCAAGTAAACACTTAAATTTAGCAGAAACCCTAGGTACTCCTTGCAGTTTCCTCTTGAACCGGTTAACCATTATAATCGTCGAAGATTAAAAAGAAGAGAAAAATTGTAGAAGACACAATTTTCTGCATATAATGTGATAAGGGCATTTCCCTTCCCTCTTCGTCCGAAATCGAGGGATCGTGCACCCGAAACGAGATCTAATCGCTGGAGTAAATTCCTGTATATTGTTTCAAGCAAGTCACGTAGCCTCGTCATTATCTTTTCTCTTTATTTTTTGTACAAGATCCCCTCAGCGATTCTAAGTTTGCGATGCAGTTCCCTGGCGCAAGGACATCTCTCGTGGGTCCTTTTATGGGAAACTTTCCTTGGACTGAATCATTTATGAGAGAATAAAAATGTCTGCCAGATTCACGATGAAACCCTGATGCAAAAGATCGACGTGTCGGCGTTTCGTAGTTTCGTGGGAAATCGGGGAAAAAAAAAAGTGAACAAGTACCGGCGTGCGAAGCGAGTAACGCAATTGCGCCGTGTAACTAGCCGAGGCGTTAAAAGGCCGGAGCACTTGGACCGGAAGTCGTCGATTCCTTTTTCGCAATCCGTGCAATTCGTCGGGCGAATTTCGGCAAAAAGTAACGAGCAAAAGCGGTTCCTGGTGCTTTCGACACCCTTCTGGCGGAAATACGTCCGCAGGAAATTACGTAGGGCGGAAAATCGCACCCGTTTCCCCGGATCGACGGGAAGAAGGAAGTCGGGCAAAAAGGTTTCACGTCGAATTGATTGCGATTGGATATCAACAGTGGCGTGAAAAAAATTCCCGACCAGCCGCCCTCTTGCCTCTGCTTCGAAAAGGGGAAAAAAGAAAAAAATGAACTCGAATTTAAATGCAATTAAATGCGACAGAGGAAAATAAAACTCGGGGGTAAACGTGTATTGCGAGCCAAAATGAAATTTTTCCACGGCACTGTAGAGTGCTATTGAAATTCGCCATTTTCTTTTTCGAGTCACTGTAAGACCCGAAAAACTGTACATATACCGTAATCTTTTTTTTTTTGCAGTAACCGTAGCGCTGTAATACCTTTCAATGGAACTCACCAAACTTCATCTTTCGCATACTTTTATTCATTTATCGTGATTGTCCCTGTTTACGTGAAACGTGCAGTTGGGTATCGTTGGTGCATGCTCCAAAAAAAAAAAACCGAAATTACCGAGTTTTGTATTACATATAGTTTGTCGCTGTATGGTGGTGGTATTTCAGAATCAGTAGTTGGTCATTTGGGTAGCTTTGGACTCGACATCGTACAAACCTCCCTGTATCCGTAATTCGCACCTCGCATTTCAATCGAACATTTCCTCACCGAATCGATCGTAATTGACCCCTTCGAAAGAATAGAAAGAAAGAAAATGTTCAGAAAGTATACACCGTCTGTATGTATCCACCAGATAATGATTTATCATTCCGTCGTCACGCATAAAGGCCGGAAAATCAAAATACGAGTCACTCGATCGGAATGATAATTACACGTTACGCAATAAATGTCTTCATATTTAAGAAGAGAGAAAAAGAGAATAAAAATTATATTTATTTTCGTGGGAGCTTAAAATTAGAAGAAGTACAGGAATGCCTTTATACGTGACGTAATGTCTTATAACAGGGATGGGGTTAAATTAAACTACTCTACTCACGTGATCAATCCCATCCCTGATATCTCAATAAGTTAGAATAATTATGAAATTGCATATTCGTTAATATCATCGCCAGGGATACTTCTTAATCCCGTGTGCTTATAATATATAGGGGCTTTTTATATATTGTTAATAATTTCTTTCCTTCGTACCGATTTACGTAGATCGACTTCACGGAGAGAGTGGTTACATGAGCAGCCCTGAACGCGGTGGAGGTGTCGGAAGTAGTACAGGACGATATCCTCCAGGACCTTACAGTGGAGGTGGTAGTTATGAGGATCCTTATTACTCCCAATATTCGGGAACGGTCACGCCGGTGATCGACGAAGAAGCGAGGTAAGATGGCTCCATAAGAATAAAAATGATAAGAAGGAGAAACATTACACGAAATTGAACATTTTAAATCTTGGCTTGAAGAACTTCTGGCTCTCCTTCGATAATGTCACTGTCAAAAATCCAGATTTGATAGTCAGCTTAACTGTAATCATAGGGTACCTATATTTTGGAAATACAATTCTATTGAATTAACATTGCAATTAATTTGTAGAGTAATAATGGATTTTCGACAGTGTTGAATTTCCGGAGCAATGGTTTTCTTTGGGTGTTTTCCTATTTCTAATTATTATCATTTTTTTTTATTAAATATATATATCACGTTTTGGCGAGCGGAGTGCACTGTTTGGGCTTTCACGGCTTTTCGGGACTAACTATACGAATATCCCCGAAGAACAATCTACCGTTTAAATGTTGACGGAAGGAAATTTATCGGTGGAGGAGAAATATTCCTTTTGTTGGTATTTCACTGTTATTGCAATTGGGATTTTTCATCCGCACCGAGTGAACGAATATAACTACGCTTGTTTTATTTTCGTGTGAAGGTTGTACTGCTGATTCGACTAATTGGCACTCGTCGGAAATATTTCCTCAATTCATGTGCCCGGATTACATGTAACGATTATCTCCCTCACGCTTAGCGTTATCGGGCATTTCTTAATAAAAAATCCCAGAATGATTGAACTAGTTAAACCATGAGTTAAACAAATGACATTTCCGTTTCAACAATTTTCGCGATATTCGCACAATGGATATAACCCTAGTAGCACAAAATATTTGTCCTATATTTTCTATATATTTAACGAATATCGTACATTTTGTAAATATTTAGCAGATTTGAAATATTTGCAAAACGTTTACTTTAGAATATTATCTCTATAATATTTATATAATATTAGCTCCATGTGTTTTCATAATATTTTTCTACCAGATATACAAAATATTTCGTTTCATTTTAATACAAGTATTTTTTAAATATTATCTGCCGAATACATTATAAACGTATTAAAAATATTTAAAATCAAAATAAGACGTTTTGCGCCCTCAATGAAATAGCGGAACGAAAATATTAGAAAAATGTCTTAAGTTTTTTGATACCAAATGAAGTGTCCGATAATAGTCGTGAAATAAAAAATGTATTTCTATTATGTTAATAAGTTAAAAAATATTTCTCTATATGTTAATAAATTATTGAAACTAAATATGTCATTGAGATTTTCAAGAAATATTTCAAATATCTTCGAATGAAATCTACAAGAAATCTTAAAAAAATCTTGAGATATTTAGCAAAGATTACAAAGAAATATTTAGAAATTATTCTATGCTACTAGGGTAAAGGAGACAAAAAAAGTATCTTGAGAACTTCTGTGCGAAATTTAAGGTAACACGTGACACTATTACACACTAAAATAGGGTTGACATCACACGCTGCGTTGTGTCTTCTTACACCACTTAATACGCTCAAAAATCCCCCCGAAAAGGGTTAAGACCCCAGATTGTTTCGGATAGGATTTAGATTGAAAGAATTTCTTTTTACCGACAATTAATGTTTCTCGACGGATTCCACGTCACCTTAAGTACCCGAGTGTTCATCCGTAGGGACGCGTTGGGTTGTTCAGGCATTAATGAAAATAAATGATTTATAACCGCGTGTTGCTGGGTTTGAAATTTCGGACGGCGGGAAATGCCGGTACGTAGAGGCAGTAAAAGTTGCACCGAGAATCAGCTGTGGGTGTGTGTATTTGTTGTGGGTGGTGCAGCGATACGGAGCTCCTGGAGGAGTCATACAGCCTTTACGGGGTGAAACCACCTGGTCGACCCCCCTCGGGCCCCTCTCGATCCCCATTCCCACCTGGGGCACCCCCTTTGCCACCTGGTGGACAGACCTACGATGTAACTCGGTACCGTGCACATCTGCGATAACTCGATAGAACAAGTGCCTTGCAGTATTGCGCGAATGCACCATGCCTGCTCGAATGCGTATATACGCCATGCATACGTATGTATACGTACATATGCATTGCTTCGACACCTGATTATGCGCTTCTGCCAGATATGCCTGCTTCCAGTTCGGTTAATTTCATTTTACATGCTAATTCAAACACTGATCCGCTGGAAGGTTGAATTTAAATTGTTAACCAGGTTACGCATCGACTTTTTATATTGCAATTTCTAGTTATTATTCCGGAATGAGAGATTTCACGCGGGAGTTAGTAAATCAAAGGGAATGTTCCCTCGGTTAGGAATGTGAGGTCGATTGGATGGAATTGTTCAACTAGTCTTTTATTTTTTTATTTATGCTTACCCGGTAATTAAATAGAATATTGCGGTTCATTGAGTGGAGAGGCTTAAATAAATATTTGTTATGCCTGTATCTGATGATTATTTTCTTAGATAATTAAAGGTTCAGAGGATTTTTTAGGGCATCTTGAACAATTATGAGCACGTATGATGGTAAACTTTTCGTTAAAAAATCATTTCCCAGATCCTGGTAAAGGAATTAGTGACCGGGTCAGGCTTGCGATGTGGGAATGATTTCCAAAAAATGTATCACACGGAGAACACATTGGTACTCGAAATCAAAATGCAAAAATGTATACAGAACTTTACATATCTTTACATATCATAATCTATTAGACAACATTTCTGGAGAATACATTAATAAAGAAAATCTTAGACTACACAAAGACATTTGGAATTTTGTCTTAAATAATGTAGGTTTAGACATTATATTCCGTGTCTGAGTAATACATTTACCTGAAGCAATAAATGTTACGATGTAAATATTAAAATCGAGTCCCTATCAACATCATATTTTCGGCAAGAGAGAGCAAAAGCGCATATCATAAAAAGTTGGAAAAATGGCTCGGCAGAACAAAGATGAGAATTTTCTTATCACCCTGCCATTTTTCCAAAAAGTGTCCAGCATAACATTAACGTCTACCACGATGTAAAGTGAAAGTCCACTGATTAATGTATATTGTTCCAGTTTTCCTTTCCATTGCATGTACGAAATTATGTAAAAGTTCCAGACCGAGTAATGTTAAATGAGTTCGCATCAGGTAGTTTAAACGTTCGAGTTTGTTGACACCTTTAGTATGAAGAATTGACATTATAAACTGAAAAAGATTTCTGTTCGTTTGAATAAACAATTACCATCCTGCATCGAGAGGATCAACCGAATGGACAAAAGGAATTTTTTCGGTGTAGGAGTGCACAAATTTACGTGTAATGTTAAATTGTAAAACGTTCCATGAATACATTTTTTTGTTTAATTTTCTTTTAAATCCAAGTGCACTCACCTAACAGGTATCTACATTACAGAACATTTGTCGTGTAGAAGTTCATTATTTTTATGATCTTATTTATCTTTTTATACACTAAGAAAAAAAATGTCATCGAACCAAAGAAATGTTTTGCGCAAGATATTTCATTGATACTATGCAAAGAAATATTTTATTGGTTCAATGCATTTTATTCTTTTTTATCGAGGTATAGATTCAGTTTATGAAGGGTAATCAGTGGAATCAAAATCGTTCACGGAACGTTTGGAAACATTTAATTTCAGTTTATTTGTCAAATTGTCGCGATTTGCGTTTGCCGTTGCTTTGTACGTTCGTTCGCTTTTGCCTGATAAAACCATGAATGACCTAGAATTAGATCCGTAGACGTATCGAGTAAGTGAACCTATGCGATTGCATTGCATGCACTTGAGGTACTCACGGAATGTAAGGCGAAGCTATTACAAGTGAGATTCTTGCGAGTTATGCAATACTGAAATGTGTTCATGGGAGGCCGATGCCTTTCGATTCGGTATAAAATCGAAGCATGTCACGTTATGCACTCGTAGTGCATCGAACCGATTGTATACTTGACTAGTATGAAAATGTACCCAACAATGCCAGAATTGAGCGATAAACCAGACTTATTCGACCTTATTGCCCAAGAGTGCATTTTAATTCGGTGTTTATAAACTGATCAGAAATATTAAAGAAAAGTCCAGGCTCAATTCTGGTATCGACGAGGTGTACCAATCAATTGAAGAGACTCGTTGAGATGATTTAACTTTAAAACTCATCCAGCAATAACACTCGACCGATTAACAACGTACTTGTTAAACATCCCACCGAGCCTCGCACTTTACTCAAGGGAGTACTTTTAATCTCAAAGAGAGGCAGATGCGAGATCCGATTAATATTTCAATAAGTGGCCTCGGAGTTTGAAATTCTTTTCCGAATTGCAATTACTCTTGTTAAACGTTGCGGGATAATTCTTTGCAGTTGAATTTCTCCAAATTAAATTCAGCTGCAATATCAGGCCCTAAGAGTTCTCATAATTCCCGTGAGAATTTCATTTTAACAGGCAACTCTTTAATTTGCCTGGTTAGAGTGGGTTTTTTTCCTGCTCTCCAGAAAATGTCCATTGACTGCTCTGCTATCTAAAGAGATGTTCATCTAGATATCATAGAATGGATTTTTCGGCAATTGATATACGGTACTCAAGTCTGACACTCTTTAAGGGATTTATCCTTAATTTGTTTGAATTCTCTGGCTGTTTCTCTCTTGAAGAGGGCAATGGACGGGGAATTTCTGTATGAGCTAATTACTCATCCCACTAAACGTTATTTCTAACAGGATAAGAGTGGAACACATGGAACGGCAGCTTGCTAACTTAACAGGGCTCGTGCAAAAGGCTCTAACCCATGCCCCCCATACTAGCCCCTCTCCCAGGGACTACTTACAAGTCCCAGCAGGACGAGATCCATATGCAAGGACTACAGGTACACATAAGCATGACAATAACATATATTCGATGATCGATTAACGGGTTACCTCTATGCGAGATTTACCTCCAAGATTTAGCTTCTTAACACATTGTTGACCGGCCATTTTACAATGCTAGTCGTTCCGGCACGAGTTAACTCGTTACCGGTTAACAATGTGTTAAGGTGATATGGAAGGGTCATTCTATGTATATATATAGGGTGTTTCCTAAACATGCTGCAAAAATTCAAGGGGTGATTCCTGAGGTATTTTTATGAAGAAAAGTTCATATAAACATTTGTCGAAAAATACTTTCTAAGGGAGCTTCAAATGGGGCACCCTGAAGGCGGTTTTTCCTCAATATTTTCGAAATCGTCCATATTGAAATTATGACATTTGGTATACCGCATAAACTTTTGACGCTGAATCAGAATCGGAGCTCGGAATTTCAAAATTTTAATCAGAAGTGTCCCATACTGAAGGGGTTGAGGGTAAAAATAACCCCTAATTTTAATGAACATTTTTTTTACATTTTGATTTTAGAATATTATACCTGAAGGATTTTTACGTAAAAAAGATACTCTTATTTCATATAGATCGAGCTCCCTTATGAAGCATTTTTCGACAAATGTTTATATGAACATTTCTTCATAAAAATACCTCAGGAATCAACCCTTGAATTTTCGCCACATGTTTAGGAAACACCCTGTATAAAACGTCCAAATATTTATAAAACTTTTCTCCAAACTGGGTGCACCTTTAACACGTGATTATGGAGGCTCTAAAGAAGAACGCGATGCTCGTGAATTTTCATTTTTCACAAAAAAAGTATGATTTTTGTTCTGGTCTTGGCTAGATAAAGAGGATTTTTTTTTTATGAAATTTCACGAGAATCGCGTTTTTCCTTAGGGCCTCTATAAATACGTGTTAACGTTTCAAATTATTTAGTAGAAGTGATATCATGACCAAGGTGGTTTTTGAGAATGTATGTTTTAGGAGGGTCCGATAAAATTCGCTACAATTTTTGACAGTTCAATGTCATTTGGTCATCAATCAAAATTTGATTTGGATAACAAATAATTAAACATAGTTAAGAATGACTCTCGTCTTCTCTTAAGCGATCATGTAACGTTTCCTTAACGTCGGTATAATTACAGCGAGAAGGAGACTTCAATATGTCATAACATTACATTTACTAGGCTTAATAAAAGTAATTAGCAAACGTTAGTAATATGTAACTAAAACATGTAACAAACATGGTACAACATTTTCACATTTCGGCCATCACGGGCTTATTTATGTGTCCGCAAAATTATTTAAAAGATATTTTAAAGTGCTTACTAACAATACTTTGTCCTTTCTTTTTGGAAACGTTACATTCCTTTGAGGACTCATTCGTCCATCTGAATACGGAAGAAACAAACGTCAACTGAATTCTATTGTGTCAAGAACTTTCAAGACCTTGAATAGAATTATTATTTTCAATTGCGAGTGCGAATATAACAGCATACTTATTTCGTTCTAAGTAAATTCGCAACCCTTCCAATTCGCGTTTCTGTTTTCAAAAGAAGGCTGCATAAAAAGGAAATAAATTCAAGGAATAATTAAACGAAAGAAGAGATAATCTCTCCTGTTAATCGTAACTTTTCACCGAAAAAAAAAAGAAAAGAAAAAGAAGAAAAACAAGAAAATAGAGCACGTTTTGCTTTTACCTCCGCCTTTCGAGCCGCGTCAAAACTCAATAAAGGATTTTTCATCTTGTCGCGATGTAGAGCGACACAACTCCGACTCCTGGGTTTTGGCGTCGGCCATCTTTAAGATACTTTTCGGTCATCGTAGAGTTACATTACATATTTTAGACTTTTCGCCTTGCGCGGTATATGCAACTACCAGGTACACCGGTTAATCTTGTCGACGTACGGTGAGAAATAAATATTCAATTAACAAACACGTCCTCCAAGGACCTGAGTTACATATACCTCGCAAGCCGTGCCAGTAGAAATAACTTCCGAATTTAGATTCCTCGCCACGAGCCATGCAATGTTATGCAATTATCAATCTTCACCCATATAACAATATAAAAAAAAAATTAGAAAAACACGTGATGACAAGAAATACTAATTGTATGACCGTCGCAGGATCGGATCATCGCAGTCCTTCCCTGGAAAATTCATCTTCTTTCTGGTATATCTCTTATTTTTGTTCTTATCAATTTAAGAAGTTACATGGCTCGTGGCTCTACTTATACAATTTTCTTTAACCCTGCTGTACAAGTGCTTTATTATTCCGACTAACGCACACCAGGCGCAGGAGACGAGTTCGACAAGCACTCTAGCTCCAGCTCCGCCTCGCTGCCAGGTGTGTCTTTAATTCCTACTCTTTAATCGCTAATCACTAACCATCGATCACTAATCACCGATCGCTGATCTCTCTTTCTCTCTCGTGTCTATCAGTCTTTGTATTCTATTTAACACGTTCACTTTGTCGGCTCTTCCGCGTCACGCCATGTAGATATTCTCTCGTCGTGATGTCATTGTCAATATAAAACTGTCAACCTGCCATTACAGATGAGTCGTACTTAAGGACCGATGTTAAGCCGCCGAAATTAGGCAAAGGTTCGCCCAATTGTATTCTCTTCTGCTTTTTATACGTGTTTTGTTTAAATTTCCCTGTATGTCCTAATGGTCTTATGGCACTTTCGTAGTTTCACTCTCTCTCTCTCTCTATGTCCTTGGGCGTTAATTTCGTTTTAATTATTTCTGTTTCCTTTTTAAACGCAATTGTGAGGTGTACGTGAAAGCATGTTGCATAAGTTCTGTGATGATAGATGTTGCACTCGTTTTACTGTTGTCAATTGTCATCTGTCAATCGTTTCCCTCTTTCTTTCTTTTTCTTAACAGAAAGTGATAAGAATCCATGTAAGTTAAATGTTTCATCGCCGACAACTTGAGAACCCGGTTATTTAAGGAAATTGAATTTTAATTTGGATATGGTCGTCTTACTATTTAATTAATTATTAACGCTTTTGGATGAAGTCGTTTCTTAAATCTAATGACGTTTTCTTATCATTTAGTCTCGTCTTATCGTTATTTAGTAAATACGTATTTGATAGGAAATGTGTAAGTAATTTGTGGGATGTATACAAAGTTGGACGTATTAAAAAGATTCAGCAATTGTTATAAGTTGTATGTAAAAAGTTTGTTCAGCTATACGTGGCATTCGGTCCGCTGAATATTAAGCTATTCAATTTCTGGTGCATGTAGAGTTTTTATATATATGTTGGAGCGGTTATTGTTTCGTTACTCGATATGTACATACAGAAGTGACATTTTCGATAAAAACATTTCATTTGTTTTATCCTATTTATGGTGACTGACAATGATCCGTATTGCACACGCGTTTTCATTTTTTATTCTCGCACAGTCGTATCGTTCACAGAATATGTCTTTACGTCTACATTCTAAAAGTATTAAGCTTGATTAAACAATCTAATAAAAAATGAATGTTTCAATATAACTAGTTTTCGTATTAATTCACGCGCGCTTCAAAAAAAAAAAAAAAATACACCAAATGCTATGGAGGAAAAAAAGAATTAAACGAAGAATGAATGTTATACACATATATAAAGCATCATAATTTCCTTTTAAGCTTATTTGACTACATTATGTACTATTTGTTAAAACGTTGGCACCTAACTTATACATGTTATATTTTTCTACTGTCGATAGAAATGTTATGTGATTTTAAAAAGTGCTTTCGTTTACTAGGTATGAAATAGCTGTAAAGCAGATTTTTTTTCACTCCATTGTATAGCATCAGTTCTATTGAATGGGCACAATTATTCTGTAAATAAAAAAAAAGCACCATCATTGTTGCCAGTCTGACAAAAAGTGTCGGCAAATTTGCTTCAGCATGTATGCGGCCTTTCAAATAATTATTTTTTTTTTATGACCGGGGCATCTAAATGTCGTCACGCCTGTTAACATATTTGTATATTACGTGATCATGCAAAAGTCAGCCGCATTAAAAAGTCCGATAAACACCCGATCTATTGCAGACAAGTCGGTGTCATTCGAAAAATCGGTATCCTTCAGCGACGAGCCTCCAGACATGAATTCACCCAAGCAACACTCCCCTCAACATGCAGGTAATTGCAGGTGCACAATGCATTCGCAAATCGTGCCAGAATCACTAACAGCACTAACCGAACGGAGAGATTGGCGGACTAGGAAAATAGTCCATGATTTTCCATTCAGCCCCTTCCTTAACTTCTCCATTTTATGTTAAAATCGCAGACGGAAAGATCTGGTGATACCTGTGTCCAATGGATTGGACCTAATCTCGAGTACTTTTGCATAATTATAAATTGCACTAATGCATTTCCTAAATTTCACCATTATTTATTCGCCATTCAACTTCTCTGGTGTATGTTAAACTTATAAGTTTACTCTTATTTTTTTCATTTGATTGAAACTTCTTCCAATAAACTATACCATATTCTCCTTTCAAAGATACATCAACTTGATTTAAAAGTATATATTGTTCGTATGATCACATACTTCTTCATTTTAAGGAAAATTTCATTTATTCGAATGAAAGCATTTATTTTTCATTTAACTGCATTCTCGTTTCCCCGCCCGTGACCATCGCATTTATTAAAAGTAACTATTTTTTTTTTTTCATTCAATTAAATTTTTTTCTCAGTGTATAAATCGTAATACCGAGCATGAGATTCAATCCATTCGGGAGTTCCTCCACCCAGTTAGAGATATTTACGATTCTTGTGGTAGGGCAATAATCCTATTCATTAAATTCACCTGTCCGCCATCTCTCCAGGAGCACTAATCGCTACTAATTCCGCCATATTTACATGCTAATCCAGCAAGAGCCTCCTGCGATTTATCGCCCAAAGGGGAATCGGGCACAGAGAGGAATAATTGCGATTTATCGTTGCCTCTTAGCCGGGAAACGATGTCCACCTCAGAAGATAATACCCGCCTTATGCTCCCCAATCTACCTCTAAATATATGTATTATATATTTCTCTTAACTAACGAGATAGAACTCTTTGCAAGCGTTCTCTCTCTCTTTCTCCTGGGACCCAGGAGGCTCTTCTAAATTTAAGGTGAAGTGAAACCCCCCTCAAATCAGTCGATTCGAATAAGACACTTTTTTTAAGGGTATTGGATCGAACCGTCTGAAACTTTGTCACATAACTCGCGATCACCTAAGAATTATCCTGACCCTTTCAAAATTTGAATTTTCGAAAAAGAATTTTTTCACTTATCCTAGACCAGAACCAAAATGCCGACGAGATCTTATATTTCGATCGATATACAAGTATCGAAGGCTCCGATATGAGAAACGATGGTGTCAGGACAATTGTACTACAATTTAGAGCACTCTAGTAATCGAGAAACTCACATTTGCACGGGATAAAGGTAAAAAAAGTGTCTTATGCGCTTTTGTGCTAAAACGAAGGTAACTCGAGGTCTCTGAGAGAAAATTTAGTTGCCACTAAAATCACAGGTGGCGCAGAGTGTCACTCTGCAGTCAATTACTGCCTCAGAAACCATGAATCCAAAGGACTTCTGGAGTTTTACTTCGATTTCTTTATAATTATTGTACGAAAACGACAGGTGTAGTATGCCATTTGGTACAATACCCAATATAATTCGACACGGCCGTCGATATAAATGCGAAGGTCGGCAACATAGGTATTTAGAATAATCTTTTTTACCGACGTCGATCAAGTTCCTCGAGGTGTTTCACTTCGCCTTAATGCTGATCAATTGTCACGAAAGGTTCGCCCACTAATCAGGCTTGTTCACTCGCAATGTAACGATCTAACCCTCCATTCTCGTGCAATTCTGCAATGCCCACGACCAACTAGCGGACACAAAGCCAACGAAACCGGCAATCAAATCCTCGACGTTGCCGAGGATGTCCTCCCAAGGTAAAGCTTACTTCCTCTTGAGCTACTTAACTCTTGAGCGGTGATAACCCGAATCGCGGTGCGCGGGTGCCCGTAAATTGAGATTGGCACTTCCGGGCCCGCGCAAAGCGATCGCCACTGACGGAGTGAAAGATGTGCGATGTTAACGAGCTAATGGCGGTCGGTTTTTACGGCTGTCGGCGTTGACGGGAACGAAATCGTTTCAGAGAGGGACAGGCACAAGCCCCCGCCACCCCCGAAGCCGGCAGCCCTGGCCGCGGGGCCCTACGTCTACAGGGACTTATCACTCACGCCGGAAATGTACAATCAGCTTAGAGGTCTGCAGAAGAAGGCCAAGGACTTGAGGCAGGAAGTCAGGAACCTCAGACGCATGTCCCAGACCCAGGCGCACATGGTCAGGGAGACCATCAAGGATACCTTCATCACCATCAGGTACGGCTGAACCCAGGAAGAAATGTGTTCCGTGCACGACACTCATGTATTTGAATTCATTGCGGCTTTTGAAATGTCAGACAAATTTCCAGAAAGGGACTTACTTGGGCCCATCGGGCCATTTATCCATTTACCAATTTCCTGACTCCGAAATACGTTCGTGAATTTTAGTTTTCTACGATACGGTTATATTGCCCCGTACGTCCCATCGCGGAGGTTTAGGGTTCTTTAGAATTTTCTCGGGTTGACCGTCCCTATCCTTTACCGTCATACCTTTTTTAACTTTACCGCTAACACGTGCGCGCAACATGCACAGGGGCATACAACATGTTTTTCTATCTGCACGGCAACTAGAAATTTTCCGTTTTCACCCAACCGTAGTGGACAGCTATCGACCGATCACGAGGCCGACTATTCGATTTTAACCGCCCTTCTTAAAATCAGTCAGTCAATCGTTATGTACGAAATTTGCTACCATCTCCTCAAAAAATGTAATGCGACCGGAGGAGGAATCCTGTATTTTTTCTGTAAGTCAATCAGTCTCCGTCTCTCGATAGAATTCAACGTCTCTCGTCAGCCTTCACCATCATCTCTGCAACTGTTATCGGTATTCACGCGTGAAGAGCTGACAAAATTCAATAAGTCATTCGTCAATTTAATATTATAATAAATTTAAGTTGTTTTGTTCGCGACAAGTCTCACTTTTATTTACTTATCATGGACTTGAACCAACATAGCACGTTTTGGATGTTTCACGCTTCTTAGAGGCTTAGAATCGAAAATGAAGAGTTTCAGGACCTAGCTCGAACAATTTTGAATACCGTAGAAATGGAATATTACAGAGTCAGATGGGAAACTGTGGTGAATACTTTCACCAACGATTGCGAGAGAATGCTGGCTTGTCCTGCGGCTAACGCGTGTTTAAAGAGAAAAAATTTAGTTGCAGCTAAACGTCACAGATGGCGACGTTGGTTCGTCAAAATATAAAGTTATGGATTCATGGGCTTTCGGCAGTTTTACGTCGATATTTTTATCATTACTTTACCGAAATGACATATAGAACCCTTCGGTTCGTATAATTCTTAACGTAGAGTGTAAAAGACAATATAAATATAAATGTCAGGAATGAGACGCGCCACCTTATGTTCCCACTTGAGTATTTGAAACGGCGCTACCACCAAAAAGGGTATAGATGAATTTTGCTTTATCGACGTCGATTAAATTTCTTAGCGCCTTTCATATTCTCTTAACCCACTGAGCACGAAACCCTTTCGACGTATGATCGACATGCCCACAGGCGACATTGCACCAAACGTCGGACACCTTGAAGTGCCTTTAGTAGCCAAAGGGTTAAGCCGATGTCTAAGGTAGTTTTTACCGATTAGTGACGACTAATTGCGCGGATATATTACCTTAGACCTCATGTATTATTTTTTCTTCCCTCTAACTCATGACTGGGGTAGATATATCCACTCTGCTTGTTTTTCGTTGCCAAAATGTTTTCCGTCATCGGTAAAGGTGAGTGTTAGTAGGCGAATCCCTTAATTTTTTAATGAGGAAGTTAATGATCGGTAGGAAATTTAATTTTAAATTCTAGTTTGTAGATATACACCCCATTTATATATGAATGAACAACAAATACTGGGGTGGGTTTCTATTTGTGAGTTTAGGGTTAATTGAATGCAATAAATGTTGGATGACTTTGTGCTCCTAACGCATCGAACGCAAAAATAGTAGTTTACTTATTGTCACATATGAATTTCGACTTGAGAGAAAAATTATTCGTATTGCGGAAATACCCTTTCCGATTTGAATATTTTGACGCTTGCAGCAATTTAGATTTTAGCGACGAGGCGTTACTGTTGCGGAGAATATTCAATTTTAGCTTTTCACGGAAAAAACGAAACTAACCGATCCGAAATTGCATTCCGAGAGTGCAAAAGACTCGTGAAAACATTTATGCAAAAAATCGAAACGCTTGGAATGTAATAATGTTAATTGGTGGAATTATTTAATTATTGAAATTCTAATGTTTATATTTATTTTAGGGCCATGTTGTTGTCCGGAGGAGATGCAGGCTGGGCTTCTGGGGATGCTGAAAAGATTAGACTGAGCCGTGAAGAGGACCTCTACAAGCAAGAAATGATAAGGCTGGAAAAAGATCTTACGTGAGTGGTTATGATTAGAATGTTTACCCATAAAATTAGCGCCTAGCGTGATAACTCTTGTTCTTATTATATTCACTATGTTGATACTCGTGATAGTAATATTATATGCATTTTACAGCGAGCTAGAGAGCACAGTGGAGGAATTACGGGGCAACGTCATCAACCGAAAAACACGCGTCAATATGTCGGACGTGGAGAACATGGCTTTGATTCTCAACAAATCAAGGTTCGAAATTGCCTAACTGTCTTCGATTACATTTTGAACTTTCTACATAAATTACAAGATTTATTCTAACAGTTATAGCGCTAGTATATTATCTTAAAGAAAAAAAAAAGTGTCACTTTAAGACAACGAGCAATTAATAAACCGTATTTGTATGAGCGTAGATTGACATTTTTAAATAACAAATGGTCCATTTTAGAGCTTTATCTTTGAAACTGCAAAAAGTGTAACTGGAAGAACGTAAGACGTGGAAGAACTTGAGAACCAATTGTTGAACGATTTAAGGTGAAGTGAAGCCCCCTTCAAATTAGTCGATTCGAATACAACACTTTTTTTAAGGGTATTAGACCAAACTGTCTGAAACTTTGACACATCACTCCTGATCATCTAAGAATTGTCCTGACACATTCAAAATTTGGATTTTCTAAAAAAAATGTTTAACTCAGCTCAGACCAGAACCAAAATGGCGTCGAGCTCTCATATTTCGATCAATATACCATTATCGAAGGCTCTGATATGAGAATCGAAAGGGTCAGGATAATTTCACAACAATTTAGAACACTCTGGTAATCGATAAACTCGTATTTAAACGGGATAAAGGCAAAAAAAGTGTTGTATGCGCTTCTATACTAAAACGATGGTAATACGAGGTCTCGGAGTGAAAATTTAATTAACCTGGAAATCACAGATGGCGCAGGGGGTCCCTCTGCAGTCAATTAGGACCCTAGAAAGCATGAATCCAGAGGATTTCTGGAGTTTTACTTCGATTTCTTGATATTTATTGTACGAAAACGGCAGGTGCAGTATGCCATTTGGTACAATACCCAATATGATTAGACACAGCAGTCAATATAAAAACGAACGTCGGCAACGTAGGCATTTGGAAAAATCTTCTTTATTGATGTCGATCAAGTTCCTCGACGTGTTTCACTTCACTTTAAGTATTGTCACCTTTGAAGTCGACGTAGCGCTAAGAAATCATTGTCTTGATATAAATTAGTTAACTAGATCGTTTGAATTCCGCAGCAAAACGGTGGCGGATCTAAAAATGCGGTTCCCGAGCTTGCAGGAGGGCATGAAGGGTCTCCTAAGCTCCGAAATGGAGAAGGTCGTCCGGGAGGAAAAGTTCCTGAAGGAGGAGCCAGAACGCCTCGAATCCGCGTTAAGGAGGTGCAAGAAATTAACTGGAACTCTCGTCACGCTCAAACGGTAAATTCCTTTCGAAAAGCCTGCGGGATGTCTTCTCGAAAGGACGATTATCTAAAGCGGTTCTCGTTTTAGCTTGGCGTCGGTGCAAGAGCAGCGATTACCGAACGCGGCGAGTGTCGAGACCGAGGAGACACCACCGATTACGCCGACCTCGGCGCAACACTCCAAGGTAATTGATGACCCTGCTTGCTGTCCTCAGGTTCCTAACTTTCTTTCCAAGCCCCGCTGTCATTCTCGTGCGCTAGCACCGACAATGCATGGAAGAGAAAAGAGTCATTGATCTCCGATTACTTGTCCGGCGAGTGTCAGTCGAGGTTGATGGAAGGGACGTCGCTCCGAATGCAACCGGTGCAAATCTCCTGCTCCACGGCTCGAAATTGATCGGCAAAATTTCAGAAGACAGTCCGAACTGCGAGTAATTCCTCTATGTAGATACTTTTTAACATCAGGATCCGGAGTGGAGCTGGTAAAAAAGAATACACGGTGGTTCGAGTCGTCCTTCCGTCTCTAGGAGTGACTCGAGCAGCAAGGAAATGGGAGACTACTCCAAGGCACAGTTTACTTCGCAAAGTTTCAAGTAGTGGGGGTTCGAGGGATAGTTTATTTCTTTTAATTTCTAGCTAGGTGGATCCGTTTGGGAAGTCTGGATAAGGGTAGGAATATTTGTCGGGATGATGGGGAGATGATTCCTTTTTGCGGAGTAAACTGTACATCGCTTATCCAATGTCCCACAATGCTAAGCGCATGCGACGAGTGATAGATTTATCTATATATGACACAGGCTTAATAATACTGTTAACTAACGAGAACACTCATCTATTGTAAGAAAATTATAAACCGTACCACGTATGCTTTTACTATTACAGAAATCGGTACAATAGTTAATACCAAACTGCCTATTCACGACCTATCGTTTTTGAGTAAAACTTCACGGAGCGTTCTGCCTTGCTGCACGATTTTGGCTCCATCTGGTAGATTTTTTTCGAAGGAAACGAGATAACTAATAGAAGACATCCTTTTTCAAAAATAAATTATCAATCCAGGGAAATTAATTTCCCTACTCGTAAGAAAGTTCTCAGATCTCGTATCAAAGATTCCAGCGGCATTATCGAAGAAGCATTCCATACTTATGCAAAAATGAATCTCGGATAACTATTGGAAAAAATATACTTGTTGATTTTAATTAAAGTATATATCGTGCAGCTCGGCAGAACATAAAGAGACCACTCGAGGAGTAGCTGTACATGCAATTAACAATTGGCATAGTTCTGGTGCACAATTTGATTGGTAAATACAATTCAGTTATATTAACACTAGCAGATTATTATCGTGAAAAATGACTTCAGTGCTTCTCCAATTTAAATCTGATGGGATTTAATTCGTTAATTCGACAACCTTGATTCACATTCGGCATCAAAGTCGATCAATAATTTGCTAGTGAGTCCTATTTAATTTTCGTTTTGCGCACTGTTTTATTTGGAAGTTCAAGTTACAACTATGAAATCTGATGTAAACCTTCCTGGATTGAAGTCCGTACGAAAGAAAAAAGAAAAAAAAAGAAAAAGAATAATGATTTTTTGAGTTGTCCCTGCCCGCTCGGATTGCTCTCCGAAGTCGGGCGTTTTACGCACACTCTTTGTGAGATACTAGGTTCCTAGATTTAGCCACCACGTTTTATCTCGTAGAATGTTAGCTGATGCTTCGCTCTCGCCATTTCATAAACTTTTCCTAGGTCAGAGTGTGTGCAAACCGAATTAACGTGGAACATGACCAAAGAAATAATTTCTAAATTCGAGATACCTTACTCGTAAGATTTCCCAATTGTGAAACTAACGATTCCTGTCTCGATCATAATTTTAATAAAATATCGAATCTTCGCGAATAACCTTCCAATAATCAATATTTAATTCTGGGAATGGTCGATAGAATTTTTCCTATCTAAACTGTCATGTTCGTTATCGTTATAAACATTTGCTACCACCCTGGGAAATAAGATTAACCACTGCAGATCAACAGCGAATAATGACACGTGCAAATGTTATCTAAGGAGCTTAAGGTCTCGAAAACTTTGGAATATTCAACACTAGAATGTGGTACGGCCACTTAGCGGAAAGTTACATTTGTACCGAATTTGCCTAAGAATACGTAATTGTTCTTTCTCGAAAATTCGTCGCCTAGCTTCCTCCCCCCCGACAGCTCCGTTCCAAAATATCAGAAGTCCCTAGAATCGGAATATATTATCATTGTCCACTGGCGTCAGTGTCTGATTAACTCCTGCAACTTGTTTCTTAATGGACCCCTCTGCTCCAAAAACCTGAAGACCAATTTCAATGTTTGCTGTGACCCGATAGAATAGATACTTAACAGTTAGCTCATGATGTGACAAAACGTTAACCCTTTTTTTTTGTTTTTGACATTACTCAAAGCTTAACTCGAAGGATGCTCATTTTCATGAGAAATTACTGTCTTATTTCGCAGTATCATAGGATCATTAGAAATATATAACTCTTTCATAACGGAGTTATGACGATTTACATATAATTGTGCGACTAGTAAAATGTAACTAAGTGAGTAACATCTCTCGCGTGTCTTAAATCATGAAAAGGAACTAATAATGTTTTGTCAAATCATTGTATGTTAGTTGTGATCCACAAAAGACTCAATGTTATACCTTGTATTACGTGAGCTGCCGCAACAATGGTTTTGCATACAAAATCAGTGTTGCCGATAACGGGGCTGGAGGTAACCGAAGTGCAATTTTTTTCCAAAGCTGCACAACACCATACACACAAAGACACAAAGACACGAGCGTATTAAAGCTACCGAATAGTGAAAACAAAAATTTATTATGACCTGCAGCAGTGAACGTATTGTTCATTTTTGTAGTATGGCTGGAAGTGGAGTACTAACTTCAAGGAGGCCATACAGACCAGTCACGAGTAATTTTTACTAATTAATATTAATTCATTATTACTCTATATTGTTATATATATATATATTACTTCTAATCGTTCGATATATCTATTTCATGAATCATATATACAGAATCATTATCGTTCATTGGACTCTAATTGTTCTGTCAAATGGATTAGAGGGAACAAAAGATCGCTTCTTGCATTTGCGTTGACGAAACTGAAGCGTTCTCTCAATGGAACGAGTTTCGATGACAATTTAATTAAATTCACATATGCACATATGTAAATTTTAATTTGTCCACGCAAACCAAGCATTACGATGTCTCGAACGTTCAATGAATTTCCACGTAAAGTCCTTAATCTTCATATCGATTGAAAGTCATTCTTCCTCCCCGAAGATAGACACTTTTTAATTAAGATGTTAAAAAAACAATTCCGTTAAAAATGATACTTAAATTGCACCATAGAGATACATATATTTAAACACATCTATTCATTTGACGGAACATTTCGAGACTGCTTTGATGAATATTCTACATTACACTGTGCTACAGTCATTTCAACATATTTCCACTTTTGATTCGTGCTTGTTCTAAGATTACTTTGATTTTGTGCAACGATAACGTTTTTCTCGGTTTCTGCAATCTCCTTTATATTCGCTCTACTATCGAAAGGTCCTCCTCTGTGTACATAAACCGTCTCAGCAATGGGTGTTGCCATTTAAATCATTCTCAAAAAGACGAGAAAGAAACAGCCAAAAAATTGAATGAATCGCCGATACAAGAGGCCCCGCGCGATGCTTAAACGGCAACATATATGCTGGCATTCTACAGATTTTTAATATATATAATTTACAATGTGTATGGTACTGACAAGTTCTCGCGTCAAGATCCTCGACGAAAGTTCGCCATATTTTTTTCCTTTTTTTTCTTCTTTTTTTTTTCTACCAATCTTGGCATTTTTCCCGGGCAACTTTTTCCGCGCGATCGTCGCGTGAGACCCGTCGAAGGGCTGTCAATACGAATCGATCAGTTTCGGGGCCAGTAGTAAGCGATAAAAAAAAGAAAAAAAAAAAGAAAAATGAGAGATCGAGTCGTCTCGCATTGAGCGATGCGAGACAACTCGGGGGTGCGACTCGGTACTATTTAACCAATTTTGCTCACAAGACACACGCTCCAATCCACTTCTTATAGTAAGGTGTCTACGTCCCGACGTTTTAAGGTTTACATTGGATTTCCTCAGACGGCTAATTGATTCCGTTACGATTATTGTTAATTATTATGACCGCCGTTGGTACGATTTACCGATGCGATTTCCGATCTGTCGACAGCCAAAACTATGTATCCCTCCTTCTATTTCTGTCCGTTTCTGTAAAGCCCTGTGAACTTGACGATATATTTATATATATATCTGTATATATCTATATATCACTGCATCTATATACCTATATACATATATAGTACGTGCTAATTGGCAATGTTCTCCACTACCGTACCAAGTGCATACTTTTTAACAAATGGGTGACCGGAAGGAAGTCTCGCCGTTTCTCCGGTGGCGTTTCCGCAAAGGAACGGCGACGTTTCCTTAAGCTACACCCTTTACGAGAGACATGTATACCTCCTATATACACCGATGAAACCGTAGAGTAATAGTGTAAATTATTGCTATTAACAACTAACCACTTAATCAATCTTTATGGAATTTCATTGACGTTTATTTCGACCCTTGGTTATCTGTTCTTTAGCTTCTTATATCTGAGTTCACTCGTCTCTGTATACTTCTACAGCTGGTATATATATATATATATATTTATCGACTTTAGTGTTATATTGGTATAACTATATACGTCCTATACTCCCTCGTTATGTCTCTCGACTATTAATGTTTTGTTTGTTTTTTTTTTTCTACGTTGACGCGTGTTCATCCTTTTGTTCATCTGTCTAACGATACTTTCGTTTCTGTCGATACTACTGTACTCCTTTTTTCTCTCTAATTCCATTACTACTGCCTTACTATAAGGATTGGACTGAAGGTTTTGTCTGTATATTTTTTATTGGCCTACTGTTTTTTTTTTCATGAATTTTTTTTCTCTCTCTCTTTCTCTCTCTTGATTCTCTAACGACTAGACGACTTTCAGCATGTACGCGACTGCATGTGGCATGAGGAATGCACCGATGCACTTGTACTGGACACTCGGTACACGTTTTACCACTGTACATAGCGCATGTAAGATACTCTGTACTACCCTCTGCCTTCTCGATGGCACCTTATCTTTAAGCGGTTGTCCTTGCTAAATGTTTACAGGACATCAATGACAATTTCCTGGTAACTTGTCGTTTTCTCTGCCAGTTTCCCTGCCACTTCTCTTTTCACACTTAGTCCGTACTCTGTGGTAATCGACGCTCGATGGTCGGTAAATGTTTAGTTGTATATGTAATTTATATGCAGGATGGGGCACTTAAAGTTAAGGCTTAAAGGAAAGCTGCCTAAAAAAAAATGTAATCGTGTCAAGTGATCTTTGACGGGATTCGAGTTCAGGAAACGAGCTCTTATTTTATTTAAATGTATAATTTCAATTCGATATTTTTTTCATTGCCCGGAAGTTGGGGAATCGATGTTGAATCTGTTTCAGTTCACGAATCATATTACATTTGTGTTGATTTATGCTATTACTTGAAAAAAAAAGAAAGTTTACAAAGTCGTTACCATATGAGGATTATTCTGGATTGAACTTATTTCTCATCGGATGCAATATTATTGGCGATAAAGGTGATAATTTTATGCGTCGCGTTCTATGTACACTTTTTAATGGGAGCATCAGGATCGATTAAAGGGCCTGGAAGGAACTTTCCATTTTTGTCCTGTAAACTGAGTTACATGTACCACTCGTAACAACGACTGACTTAATCGCAGAATGTGCGACGAATATAAACAATTGGGACTTGCCGACTAGATCGGTCGCGGACCGAGGTTCTCTAATTTTGTATTTTTCGTTTTTGGTTTTCTTTAAGTTGACTAATACCGGACAACAATCGACGCCAAATGTTAAAGAGCCCCAAATGAGTACTGACTTGTAACATGCACAAACGTAACCGACTGCAGGTAACTATCTAACAGAATTGATATTTTTTACCATATTTACGTTTCTCGATTTGTACAAAATTCATTAACATCCGTTGCGCTTACTTTCTCTGCCTCCTCTATTTTTTGCATGTACGTGTCCGCATAGATTTGGCATGATAGTTACGGTCAGAATCAAGAAACCGAATTTTAGAACGTGGCACATGGAAGGTATCATCCCATTAAAGTGGATTAACGTTAAAAAAAAAAGAAAAGGATAACGAGAGATGACGTTAAAAGGAAAATAATTACTTTCAACATCTACGTATGACATCTTCCAACAGGATTTCTCCATCCACGTGCCACTTTAGAAGACGGCACATTATCACAACAAATGGGCAAAGTATCTTAACAATTTTTCATGCTAAATCGCTTATACATCTATCGCGGTTTTACTTAACAAATCTTGTAAAACAAACTCGCCCCCAATCTCGACACCAGGAAGATCATTAATAATTAACGCATCGAAGGAGGTAAAGAGCAACTGTTTACACCGAGGGGAAATTATTTATGTCAGCATTAACATATCATACATGAGCATACACTAAACCATTCACAGCTTCCATTAACTGTTTAATTATTTACCTACATTTGAAGTATAATCTTAGCACCGCTACCTAGTGCCGGCTGCAAAGACAAATGATGATAAAAAAGAAAAACTATTATCCAGAAACTTTCTACTTACCCAGTTTGTACACTTGCAATGAAAGTCAAGTAACAGAACCCAGTCGAACTTGTACCCTAAAACGTAAAACAATGAAATACTAGGTATTATCAAGAATACTAAAAATGGAAAAGAATACTTTTTTAGACGAAGTCCGCGTTCTCTCCACCACATCACCTCCCATAGACAATACTCGAGAACTAACAACTACCCCCTGCAAACTCTGATTACGCCATGCAACCACACCTAACAAACATTCATAAATTCCGTCTTAACCCTCAACCGGAAATTGGAGTATTTCGACCCAACGCCATCGTATCCTGAAATGTGTACCTTGCATACGCAATCCGGCACTGCACCGCATTCTCACGTAGATAGTTGCGATTAATACTCGAAAAAAAAAAAAAGAAATTGTTGGTTCATTCTGAGAAGAGGGACGTTCACACATTTTGTCCACATTTACGACACGACGACGTTGGGTGAAAACGGTCCAGTTCTCATGAAAAGGGTTAAAAGTACCCGGTCTCTTTCCCCTCGGTGCGTCGGCCGCTCCTTCCGGTGCCGGTAGGATGCTTTGCCCAAGTAAAGACGGCGGCCGACGTCTCGTGACCCGCAAGGGTGCTTAGGTCTAACCCTGGGTTCCTGTGTCAAACAGACAGCTGCCCCTGTGCCAGCTGAACGCACTGTCCTGGGGTCAGCGGGCGTCGTCGGGGGAGGGTCCCACGCTGTCGAGCCACCCGCCGCCAATCAGCAGCGTCCGGAAAACGCACTCGACGCTCTGCTAGACGAGCTGCAGACGTTCTCCAGGCCGGCCTCGCAGATGTCGCAGGGGTCAGGCGGGGGCCACGCGCCGAGTCTGTCGGAGATCGGGCGAAGCGCGAGCCAGGGGGTGGCCCGGGGCCCGGGGGCGTCGGAGCCGGGCCGGAAAGGCAGCGTGGACTCCTCGACGAGCCTGGCCGCGGTGAGCCCGGGCCACGCGAGCACCCTGCGCCGGCTCCACTCGTACCCCTCGAGCTCGGACACGGACACCTCACCGCCGATCGCGCGGCTCCAGGTCTCCGAGGGGAACCCGCTGCCGGGGGCGGGTCACCCGCAGAAGCCCCCCGTGCCGGAGCGCAACGCGGAGCTGCTGCAGCTGGCTAGCGCGCGCCGGGTGCCGCCCCCGCCGCCCCCGCGGACGAGCTCCAGGTCGCCCCTGGCCAGCCCCACGAGCCCACAGCTGCCCCCGCGGAACCCCACGGGGACGCTGCGCCGGGGGCGCGTCAACCCCAAGGACCCGGCGGCCCCCGCCAAGCCCCCGATGGCCCTGCCGGCCTCGGCCGCCGCCCCGGAGGACCTGCTGCCGCCCAACAGCATCCTCTCCGCTAGTAACTCCAGCTCCTGCGAGAGCATCAACTCCCAGGAGGGCATGCAGAACAAGAAGGGTCGCCAGGAGCAGCTCGAGCAGCGCCACCAGGAGCTCCTGCGCAAGCAGAAGGCCCTCCAGGAGCAGTACGCCAGGCTCCAGCAGCTCCAGAGGAACGCGTCGGGCCTGACCACCGTCCCTCCCGCGCCCCCGGACCTCTTGAAGAAGACCGGCTCCGAGAGCAACCTCCTGGCCAAGATGGGTCTGGGCCTCAGCACCACCGCCTCCGGCTCCCTGACCAGCCTCACTGTGAAACCGCCCCAGGAGCAGCCGCAGAACGCGGTCACCGGTAATCAGACCTCCACTGCCTCCACCACCACCACCACCAGCAAGATCTACGAGACGGACATTCTGTGACCGAGAAGTTTCCTACCGAGACTGCTGAGAAGGTCCATGGGGCGATGGTCGCGCGTTGGTAGCGCCGCGAGTTAGCCACCGGATCTGCTGATGTAAGAGGCTTTCCTGGAGACGCTTTTGGTCGGACCCAGGGAGGACCCGGGTCCGGGCAAGACGGACCGTTCGGGTGGAGACTGGAAGGAACGCGGCACCGTTGTCCAGGACCAGAGCCGGCTGGTCGTTTCGCCTATTCCGGGGCATTGGACCACTTCTAGCGCGTCAGCTCATTCTTTGGCCAATCCGATGCAAGATCGTGAAGACCATTTTCGAAGCGAAGAAGCCGAACGATCGAAAACCTCGTTGGTCGAGACTCTACATCCTGAGGCCACCGCCATTGCCCCCTAGGATCACGTCCCATCTTCGACGCACCTTGTCCCACCTACCATCATCTACGGGAGCATCGAACACGGGTGGCAAAGCCTTTTCTTCCACCATCGGCTTCCACTTCTGCAGGAGCGCAATCTTCCTGAAATTGTACAATGTTCAGTCCGACTGGAGTACCCAAAACACCAACACCGAAAATACAGGACCAAGCAGAAGACTTTTCAGGCTGGAAATAACCAGATCTCAGAGACGGTTTCGAGACTGAGCGCTATCGTTAATAAAATCTACAATAATGGCTCTCCATGGTCAAGAGGAACCTTCTACAAATTCCCGAGAAGCTGGAAATCAAGCAGGAAACGAAAGACGGTGCCTGATCCGTTGCTTTGTGGAGATACCGTATATATCCTTTAGATTAATAGCTGGTCTTCGGGTCTGCAGGTGTTGATGCTAGCTCTGCAGGTGCTCTCGACCCTGCTCACGTTCAACACCGATCACATCCTTTGCAAGAGGTCGAACCTATCCCATGCGGGGATCACCAGGAGCTGGAAGATGGAGCCTAGACTACCGATTCAACCGATCCTCGTTAGCGGATCACGGGTTCAACCACGAAGTCCGAACCTTCTAGGAGGACTTCGTGAATTCATCGCCGAGCTTCAGCCTACGAGGCTGAGCGACCTAAACTAATGTTCAGACGATTCGTTACTTAGATGTCGATGATATCAGGATACCAATACGTTTAGAGACGGATTTCGAGGAACCTTCACCAAGGACGACCGGCGGAAGGACGAAGAGGATCGCACGGAGCAGCGATGCATCGTCCTGGCTACCTCGGTAGATGGGAAAACAAAATCGGATTTGCAGGAAATCGGCTCTTCGAGGCTGCTTATGGGGAACCAACGCCCACGGAAATCGGCCGATCGGCGCGACTGTAAAAATAAGCACGCAACTACGCGAGATCCGATATTACGTGTAGAAATTAGAGAATCGTGAGTCAAATAGGTCGTACAGGACGAGATTAGTGAATTACTTAATACGCTAACTGTAACTCTAAATAACGAATTTAAACGGATAAGGTATTTAATATTGCTCGGTTCTGGCTGTTATACTGTTAGGTATGTATGTCGACGCGACGCGGCGGCGCCCTCTTCTTGGTGGTGCCCGGAAACGGTACCGAATATTCAAGGTCGCAACTAGGTGGCCAAGGTCACGGCCGAGACCCTGCCGAGGTTGGCCCCCTCGGACTTCCGGTCTCAGGGGCTCTTCCGGGCGATGGCGTCCGGTTTCGCTTGTTCCTCCGTTTGTTGAGGAAGTCCAGGATGCGCATTCTGACAGGACCATGATTTAAAGGAATCTGAGCATTCGTACCGTTAAGGATAAAACGAGGACTAGCTAAACACCACGGGAGATTAATGTTTCATGAATATTTAGAACTCTGTTCCGCTTTAGTTTCCACCACTGGCGGATGTTAATGAGCATTCGTTATGCTCCGTAATTTTACTATCCGAGACTGATAGTGGTCAGTTTCCATTGTTAAATGCAGTGATGTCGACGAAACTGGAGGATGGTAAATGAGTACAGAGGGATTAAGAAATTAGTTTTTCGGGTATTGTTTTGTCTTATCGTAAACGTCAAGCTTAATGATGAAGTTCAAGACGCGTCAATAGAATTGGATGAAGAGGTGGACGTTTAAACTGTTAGCATAATAGAACGAACAAAATTTTCCCCCAACTAGGTGTATGTAATCTACGCGTTATACACACAAGATCGTATAATCTTGTATCCGTTCTTCGAATCTTGCTAAGAATCCCTTTAAGTCAGGTTCTGTCAGGACCCCGAAGACCACTACATCCGATATACGAATTTCTAACTCCAATCAAGCCGCGCTGTCGAAGGAATTTCCGACCTCGAGGCGTCTTAGTCGCCATATTAAACTAAAGTCGACCGCAAGAGAAGAAAAAAAAAAGAAAGAAATGAAAACATGGCAGTATTACTACACGATCCGGCGGGGATCGTAAATCCCTGAAGATCGCTCGACATCATATCCTCGAAAGAGATCCCGAGATCGCTCGGCGAACTCCATAGTTCCGCACGGACTAGTAATAATAAAATAATCTAATCAACGTGGAGCTCGACTTGGAGAGAGAGAGAGACGCTAACTCCGGATATTCGGGACTCTAAAGTATTATTAAACCGAGCGAGAGGGTCGATTCGTCCTCGTCTTCAGGGTCGTCGACCCCCCTCGAAGTCTTCAAGTACCGACTCTCATCCGATAGATCGTTTCCCTGATGTATCATTTCCCATCGTCTTGTGCCAAGGAACGATTTGTTTTTCGTCATCCCGTTAATGTAGTCGAACGAGACATTGTACGGTGTTTTTTCTTTTTCTACCTATAAATTAAGGAGAAAATTTCAATTCTTTCGGGTCTAAGTGGATCACTGTGCGGATATGTATCGTATGATATAATGTAATGTGCGAGATGATGCGTGATCGACGTGGCCTCATCGCTCGTAATTGTTGGATTCTTACGAGGATTTCTTTGTAAATTGTATACATAAGTTGGGCGAGGCTGTGTCGCCTGCTTTTGCGAAAAATTGGGCAAGCTGTTTTTTGGGGGCCGAATCCAAGATGGCGGGTCAGGGAGTTTCTCTGCGGGAACAGGGACATGCGTGGATTAATCGACGCCATGCGCGATTACTCGATTAGTCGATTATTGAGCGAATTAACTGTTTGCCAAATTGCACTAGTATGTCGTCGTTGCTTGGAGTGAAAACCTCGAATTGTTAGGCGATTTTACGATTGGGAACTTGTCACTCTTCCTTCCTTACTAAAATTGTCACTTTTTAATACTCCATTGTATAGTTGCTTAGTTACTATATCAGTTAACTTTTACGTTAATCGTCCATGAAGTTTTTATTAATATTAGAGGATTTTTTTTCTCACACTATGGCGACTTTTAAATTAATGTTAATTCCGGATTTCCGGGACGGAGCATCGAACGGTGATACTGACCCGGTACGAATTGTAACAATCGTATTTTATTCCTTTTTGTATTTGATATTATTAATTTGCGAGCGTTATTTATTTCTGCTCCGTCAGTCATTCTTGTACAAATGTTTTGCCCTTCGTTCTGAGCCTGGAACGACTAACGGATGAACAATAATAAATTGCGGAACCGTAGTTATTGAGAAATTCCCCGAGTTAAAGTCGCGCGTTCGTTCTATCCATTGTTAATCGTCGGAGTTTAACTATTAATTATTGACGAAGGAGAGGGTGTGGCGTTATCTTCCAAGGGATTTGTAAATCTTTTTTAACGAGCAAGGTCGTGCGCGTTTAGTACTCGAACTCGAAACTTATCATGTGTCGCATCCAGCACGCACTTATTAATATCTATAAATATATACGTATAGGATCATGATAAAAAGATCGCGATAAACGCGAGCGAGAACTCTCGGGAAAAAATAGCGAGGAGCAAAACGCCAAACACAGTAATTGCTCAATAAGTAACAACCGAAACGCAGCAAGTATTAATAGTCAGATCCGAGGGTCCACGTGAAACACTTTTATCCGAAATTACTTCCAAAGCGAGATTAACAATATATTTCCAACCAATTAGTATAAAATATTCTCACGCAACGGGTATACAATAATTACGACCAATGAAGGCCTCTAACTACCGTTAAATTCTTTTTCAATAAATCCCGCGAACTCGGTGTTTAATTAATATCTCAACTACCTTCATCCATTGATAACTGAAACCTGCTCCACCCGAATATATTTGCGATTTAATGATTAAAAATATATTGCTGACTTGCTTTTGGATTAGGTTTCGGTTAAATCTATTTCACGTTGATTCTCAGGTCTGTTAATAGTGTCGTATCGAGAAGAGGGACAGATTAAGAGGAACTCTTCGGTTTTATTTAACGCTAATCAATGAATATTCACGAGCCCGTCACCTCGTTAGAAAGAGTCAATGAATGTATCCTCCCCCGAATCGCACACACTAAAGGTCATGTATCGTAATTAGTACGATGGAGTCACTGTTGTCGCAAGCCTTTACACTTTACATTAAAGCGAGGAACTAAGTAACTAACTAATTAAGGAAAGCGCATATATTTCGACCCTGAGTTCGCAGCGGAGGGAGCTGGGATGGAGCGAACCCTTTTTAGCTTGTATCTCATTATAATGCTACTTCGTATAATCGTACGAATTACGCGATGCAGAGTATTTAGTATTGTTCGTAGGTAAGAAGTTTAATTCGGACGGGAGTCGAGATGTTTTCCTCCCGCGACTAAATTATTATATATTATGTCTCGCGACTCCGTTGTTGGCAAATTGCTTTCGGCTGGTTAAATTCGCCGAGGCTTCGGGGGTACCTTGTCTCTATGCAGATCGGATTGTCTGTTCCAAATGGTTTTATACAAATTTACTTCATTTCAGAATTTACAATCTGTTTCCCGTCAGGCATTGTTACCACTTGCGAAGAGAATCCCAAGTCTTAATGCTAACTTGAACTCTCTAAAATGGTAATTGAATGCCGAGTGGCATGAATTTATCTCCAAGGGGTTGGTCGGTAGACTTTTGTCTAATCAATATTAAGAGCTAGATATTGGATCATTAATTATTAGATTTTTTAACGTTAATTATTTTCACGTTTACTCTACGTAAGTGTCTGCTAATTATCGATTCGGAAATAATTTCTTTCCCGTCAGGAATTGTTCTATCGTTACCATTTGCGAACAGAATCCTAAGTCGTAATACTAACTTGAAGTCTCTAAAATGGTAATTGAATACCGAGTGGCATGGATTTATTTGCAAGGGATTGGTCGGTAGACTTTTGTGTAATGAATTTTAAGAGCTAGATATTTGCTTATCGTTTATTAGATTCTTCAACGTTAATTATCTTAACGTTTACTCTACGCAAGTCTCTGCTAGTTATAGATTGGGAAACAACGTTGAGGATTTTTGTATAGGAAATTTTGTATAGAACCGTTTTTAATTAGTCATCCAGGACTGTCCTTGTGTACGCACAGGACAATCGTGCACGTTTTGCGATCCCCGAGCTCTGCGAATCAGCCGTCGGTCTTTGCAGTTAATTGTCAAGTTATCAGAGTATTTCGTTCTTCCCTTTAACGATGCCTCGTAAAAGTAAACCGTACCTGTAAACGGCGGTCATCAATTATTAATTTTGCTCGACAGGTGTTCGGAGGAGCGGATGGGACTTTAGTGCCGCTTCTTGAGATCTGGGGACCCAGATTTTGATTAGAAGTTT